CGGTTGAAAATCATATATATATGAAATTGTGAATGAGGGCCCCTATAAGGGACCCCCCCCCATTCTCGGTTTCAAAAATTTTAATTTTGATTTTTGATTTAATTCGAACTTCTACTAATTCAAGAATATTCCTATAAATCTCAACAACTCTTGATTATAGCCGATTTACTGTATTATGATCAAGTGAAGGCAAGAGTGATTCTCAGACTTTAAACGCATTTTTCTCAAAACAGTCTGTTTATGAATGGCGGGCACGATAACTTAAAAACTACTAATCCAATCGTTTCCAAATTTCACGTTTATCTGTGAGTGTATAGCTATTGTATGAACTAGGATAAATTCAATCGATCAATTTCTTCCTTAATTATACCCTTCACCACAATGTGGTAGAGGGTATATTGTCTTTGTGCATATGTTTGTAACAGGCGAAAGGAATCGAGATAGACACATGATTCCTTTGAAAAAATATGCATAGAATCACTTTCTGAGTCGATTTATACATGTCCGTATGTCCGTCCGTCCATGTATTTTTGTGAACAAAGTACAGGTCGCATTTATGATCCAATTTGGATGAAATTTGACACATGTCACTTAGTAGGCCCAAAGACGAACCCTATTGAAATTGGAGAAAATCGGTTCAGATTTAGATATAGCTCCCATATAAAGTTTCGTCCGATTTTATTCAAACGGTGCACCAAACACCCAATATATGTCCGATTGAGACAAAATTTTGCACAGAATACTGAATTAGGTCTAGATTGATGTATGCCAAGTTTTGTTTAAATAGTCCGATTTTATCTAAATGAAGCACCATACTGCCAATATTGATTGGATTGACACAGCGTACTGAATTAGGCCCAGATTGATGTATGCGAAGTTTTGTTGGAATCGGTTCAGATTTAGATATAGCTCCTATATATAGTTTCGTCCAATTTTATGTAAATAGTGCACTAATCTTCCAATATTGTTTCGGTTTAGATTCAGATATGGCTCCCATATATAGTTTCGTCCGATTTTACGTAAATGGGCCACTATGCTGCCAATATTAGTCCGATTTAGACAACATGTTGCACAGAGTACTGAATTAGGACTAGATTGATGTACGCGAAGTTTTATTGTAATCGGTTCAGATTTAGATATAGTTGCCATGTATACTTTCCCCCAATTTTATATAAATTGTGCACAGAGTATTGAATTAAGCACAGATTGGTGTGCGAAGTTTTGATAGTTCAAAGATTCTATGTCTATTCTATCAAAAGGATATTGTACATATGAGCGTCTCTTGTATTGACCTATAGTGGCTAAGGGTATCATATAGTCGGCCCCGTCCGACTTCTGAGCTTTATTTACTGGTTATACCCTCCACCACACTGTGGTACTGGGTATTATGTCTTTGTGCACATGTTTGTAACAGGCAAAAATAATCGAGAGAGACCCATAGTTCCTTTTGAGAATATGCATAGAATCACTTTCTGAGTCGATTTACGCCTGTCCGTCCGCATTTGTTAACAAAATGCAGGTCGCATTTATGATCCGATTTGGATGAAATTTGCCACAGGTCACTTAATTGGCCCAAGGACGAACCCTATTGAAATTGGAGAAAATCGGTCCACGTTTAGGCATAGCTCCCATATAAGGGTACCCCCCTATTTTCGGTATTTTGAGGTTCTTGAGCGTGTTGTTTGACTGAATTCGCTAAAATTTGGTACTTTGAGTTCTTATTGGGTAGCAAATCTCTCCACTAAAAATTATAAATATGGGTCCCAGTGTTGCCCCCAATTTTTGCGGTATTTTGGGGGTTTTGATCGCAGATTTCGACCGAATTCGCTGAAATTTGGTACATTGAGTTCTTATTGGGTAGCAAATCTCCCTACTAAAAATTATAAATATAGGTCCATTTTTTCGGATAGCCCCCATATAAGGGAACCCGAAATTTTCGGTAGTTTGGGGTTCTTGGGCTCGTTTTATAACTGAATTCTCTGAAACTTTGTACATTGGGTTATTATTGGTTACCAAATTACTCCACTAAAATTATAAATATAGGTCCAGTTTTTCTGGTAGTCGCCATATAACGGTATTTTGGGGGTTCTGATCGTATTATTCGACCGAATTGACTGTAATTTAGTACGTCGAGTTCTTATTAGGTAGCAAATCTCTCCACTTTAAATTATAAATTATAAATTGGTGAAAATCGGTTCAGATTTAGATATAGCTCCCATATATATTTTCGTCCGATATATGCACCGAAGTCCCTATATATCTCTCGATTTGCACGAAATTTGGCATAGAGTACTGAATTAGGTCCAGAATAAATGGTGCACCGAAGTCCCTATATATCTCTCGATTTGCACGAAATTTGGCATAGAGTACTGAATTAGGTCCAGAATGACGTGTGCCAAGTTTCGTGAAAATCGGGTCAGAGTTAGATATAGCTCCCATATATAGTTTTGCCAGATTATATGTAAATGGTGCACCAAAGTTCATATATATATCTCGATTTGCACGAAATTGAAGCCTAGAATGATGTGTGTGTAAAGTTTAGAGAAAATCGGGTCAGATTTAGATATAGCTCTCATATATATTTTCGTTCAATTTAATCTAAATGGAGTACCAAAGCCCCTATTTATCTTTCGATTTTCACGAAATTTGGTATGGCGTAGTAAATTAGTTCTAGAATGGTATGTGTTAAGATTCGAGAAAATCGGTTCGGATTTAGATATAGCTACTATATATATTTTCGCCCAATTTAGGTAAATGGTGCACCAAACTCCTAATGTTTGTCCGATTGACACGAAATTTTGCAAAACGTACCATATCTAGTTCGAACGGGTGTCTGATTGAGATTATATTTTTAACAGTGCGGCATACTGAATCGCGTGTATCATGTTTGCTATAAATCGATTTCCTTAAATCTGATTGTAGCATAGGTTGACATGACATGAAATTGTTAGGATACATATATACATATAGTGGTGAAGGGTATCATATAGTCGGCCCAGTCCGACTTTACTACTTTCCTTACTGGTTTTTAACTATGTTCGTGGTCAAAAATAAGCGATTTTCTAAAACAATTATGTCAAAGTTTTGCCATTTTTTAATTTTTGTGCGAAGTCAATAATCCTAGTTCATACATTTTCGGATTCCGATGTTCCAGTGAGGAGTTATCATGCCCGACATGAAAAATAAAGACTTTTCTTTAATCACAAAAAACACCAACAAAACAAACACAACAAAATTTTGTAAATTATTTTCCTCTTATTTTAAATCTTTAAAGCAAAATCGAAGAATTTGCTTCTTTAATTGTGCTTAAATACGTAAAGTAAAGGCAAAAAATACAAAGAAAGACCACATTTGTCATTTTTTCTTCTTGAACTTTGGATAAATACTAATTTAATGACTTAAAAAAAAAGCAAAATCAAAAATGTCGCGTTAGTGACCGAGAAAAATCCTTCCCAAATGAAGGATATGCCAAATTTTGAAAGCGCAAAAATAATGCTTGATATTTCTTATACATGTAAAGAATATAAAAAGTTCAAAATATTCACACAATTTGCAGAGTTTTCCCATTATTAACAGTGATGTCTAAAGTCATGTATATTTGAAGTCGCGTGAGTGACCGCTCTTTTGTGGCTTTTATCTCAAAAGTTAAAAAAAAGTATTATGAGAGAATTGGAAAAAAGTAATTGTTTTCGATTTATTTAAGATTTAAGTTTGATTTTGCCTCTGAAAGTCGTGTAAGTGACTGCGGAAGAGCACATATTTGCAAAGCCATAAACCTTAAGAGGCATTGGTATTCATTTATAACTCCATTAAAAATCTTGAACATTTAAAATCGAGAATCTGGGAGGTCCCCTTAATGCCTGTTTCAACATTTTTACACTAGCAATGCATTTTAGTAATTTCCACACAATTTTAGTGATTTATTCAGAAAAATCGCAAAGCTATCAATTTTTCTTTTCAAACGCGTTTTATTATTTACTTATTTTTTCCATTTTATCTTAAAATGCTTTATTAAGGATGTAGTAGTAGCGTTTATCTTCCCAAATTGTTGTTCTCTTTTTATACATTTATTTAAAAATACAAAAAATGAAATATTTGAATAATATTATATATAAAAAATTTCGTTTGTAGTTTGATTTTTTGAATCGATCTACTCCAACGATGTGTTTATCTCATGATCTATCAAATGACTGCACATACTAAATTACAAATATGTAACAGAACCTGTAATCTCAATCCCAATGCATTGAAATAGCTCGATTCGAACACATTCACCGGATATTATTAGTTCCGATAAACGATATTATATGCTATTCAAACACATTGGTGTGATGAAAATTTTCAGTGAATTGCATTTCAGTTCATTTTGTGGACTCCTGCTGTTTCTCTGCCATCTTCAAATAGAAAATATGCTGCTGTTACTGCCTTCAATACCGTACGATGAATAACTGAATAATTACATGTGTACATACCAAATTTTAAATGTTGGTATTCAAAACAAAATTAGCTGCATTTGGTCATTCAAATATGTCGGTTTAGAAAAGAAAAATGTGTTACACTTGAAGGTCTCGCTGCTATGAATTAAGACAGTGAGAGATGGGGGCAAATTACTTCAAGATAATGCCAGTAAATTGAAATAAAAAATCTCAAAGATCCCCAAGAGCGACGAAGCTAATTGAATACTACATATTGGTGGTTTGTTAACAACAATGGTAAATTGTAAACAGCGCTTTAATTCCAGCAACAAAAACAACAGCCAGCATGCCAGGGAGATGACAGCGGCGTCGGTATTTACTCTTCTTTACGCTGACACCGAACGACAGGCGTTTAACTCGAATTGTAGACAGGTACTGCGTCAAGTAAATGATCATTTAATAAGATTTCTGGAGCACCTATAAATAGTGAACAACTTATCAACTTTGACATACTCCAAATCGAACAGTTCATCGAACATCACAGCTAATCCTCTTCACCCAACTCAAAAAAAATTAAGCAGAATCATGCGTGGTCTTATGGTAAATATTTTATAAGCAATTATGCAAACTGAAAGAAAACGGATTTAACTAACCACTTAATTTTTATCTTATTAGGTATTGTGCGTTGTTGCCCTTTGCTCGGCAGCCCCTCAAGGTTACAATTATCCCAGCAATCCTGCTGGACACTATTTGCCACCTACAGCACCTAGCCAGCCTAGCGGCCACTACTTACCACCAACAGCACCTGAAACATCGGCCTATGGTCAGCAACATCAACAACCTCTGGTTACCAAACGCTTCTTCATCCACTCTGCTCCTGAAGAGGAAGAAGTCGAAGTCCAGCATAGAGATATTGTCGTTGGCACCCCTCGCAAGAACTTCAACGTTGTCTTCATTAAATCGGCCACTGATAAGAAACAAAAGACCAAAATCCGTGTCATTCCTGCCGTTAACGAAGATAAGACTGTCATCTATGTCTTGGCCAAGAAAACCGATGCTCCTCAATTGGAAACCTATGTTGAAGAACCTGCCACAACCACCACCAAACCCGAGGTATTCTTCATTAAATACAAGACCAATGAAGAAGCCGAACATGCCCAGCGCAGCATTCAAGCTGAATATGATCATTTGGGTGGCAACACTGTTATCTCGAATGAAGGTGTATCCCCCGTCTCATCGGTAATTGGTAGCTTGGATGCCTTGCAACAAGAAGCTGGAACTGCTGATGCCTCCTTTGGCGAAAGCACTGGTCCCGAGTACTCTGATGTTGTTGAGTCAGCTGACAATGCTGGTAATGCCTATTTACCACCTGTGAAGAAACATTAAGTGTGAAGAGATGAGTGATTTTTATTTAGAAAGTAGTATGACCTTCGGTCATTTGAACTGATGTGTAATAGACTTTTGATAGTTGTTTTTTATTTTTATAGCTCTTTCTTTTTCTTGTTAATCATTGATAATATATATATATATAGTAAAAAAACACACATTTATGGTTTTAATGTATTGTGTATATCTAAATACGATGTAAGATCCATAATTCTGCGACTTCTTCTATTTCCTACGGAGCTATTTTAGTTAAAAATGAAAGATTTGGGAAGATTTATGGACTGTATTTATATGGGCATATGAAAAATCGAGTAAAGTACTAAAATGACAACTTAAATATGTGAAGATTTGGTTGGAAAACGGTATAATAATTATTATATATTATAATACTAGCGAAATGCCCGCTACTTCGTAAGCGGAAATAGAATACAAGACAAATAAATAATATTTTATATTGAAATCTTGAATACTGTAGAATTTGTTGTAATATAATTGTAAGTTTATTACAATTAGTACTCTTCATACATATAAGCATTAATTTCCGAAATCTCTTTCTTAAGTAAAATTTAAAACTTTTGCACCCATAAGTACGAATTTCCATGACTACTTTAATCGAAACGTCAACAGAAATTTTTATTCCAAATTTTTACTTTTCAGCTCTATCCATTCACCAGACTGTACCGTATTCGTGCTCATAAGTACGAATTTCCAAAAATACATGAATCCTATACCCCAATATAAATTATAATTCTAAATTTCCATCTCTATTCGTTCAACCAAATCAAAATAGTACCAATCTTTGTACCATTTGTTACTTTTTTTTCGTACCCATAAAAACGAATTTCCATCATCCACCCCAAAACAATTTTATGTCCACATTTAAGGATTCCAGCCCTACCCGTTCACCAACATCCAAATTGTACCAAATTTAGTACTATTTTTTAAATTTCTTAGACGTAAGTACGATTTTCCAAAACATCCTCTATTCTAACTCAAACAGTAAATCTAATCATAAATGTCCGCGCTATCCGTTCACATAGATCCAATTGTACCATATTTAATACTATGTAGTACCTTTCGTACTTATTCGAATTTCCAACATAACCTCAATACTGTACTCTAAAAGTTATTTTAATTCCGAATATAAATTTTCCATCACTATTCGTTTACTCAAATGTACATTTTACTAAATTTAGACCATTTAGTACACATAATTACGAATTTTCAAAACTACCTCCATTTAGCAATCCTACACTCCAAAAGTAATTTAAATTCCAAATTCTGGAGTCCAGCTCTATCCGTTCATAAATAATCAAGTTATACGAAATATAGTACCATTTAGTACACATAGGTACTATACTTCCATATCTCAATTCTATACTCCAACAGCAACCATTATTTAGGTTTCTAGCTCTCCGTTCACCCAATACGAAATTGTACCAAATCTAGTGCCATTTAGTACTTTTAGTACACATAATTTTCCATAGCTGAATCTATAGCCCAATCCTCAACAGTAATTTTAATATCAAATTTCAGATTTCAGTTCTACCCGTTCACCAAAAATCCGAACTGTACTATATTTAGTACCACTAAGTACTATTCGTACCCACAAGTACGAATTTCCTAAACCACCTCAATCCTTCACTTCAACAGTCATTTTAACTCCCAATTTCATCATTTCAGCTATATCTATTCAACTAAATTAAACTTGTACCAAATTTAGTAATAATTTGTACTTTTCATTCAAATAACTACGAATTTCTAAAACAATTTCCATACATCAAAACCACTTCCCAACCTGTATTTCATATACATTTTCAAGATTCTAACGATATATGTTCAAAATATGGGAAATTACAAAAATCTTTTAAATTCCTTGAAGCTGAGGTTTGCAAGGTTATAACTCGCGAAATATGAACATATTGCATATAATTTAAATTCATTTCTATAAAATGAAGTATTCTTGTCAAAATCTTAAAATATTGGTAATAAATAATAAGTTTAGTGGAAGCTGTGATGGTGGTAATGTAAAAAAATGGATGAAAATGTGTTGAAGCCATCGAGTTTTTTTGTGTTCGTTCCTGATTTGTGGCTAAACTACACAACGCACGCACTTGTGATCAGTGACTAAGTTGCAGAATACCCCATGGACAATACGATTATAATGTATAATTTTTCGATATAATCATTGCATCCACCCAAAAAGGATGCTGACATTTTGAAGCCGGATTTTCGGTGTTTTTTGAATTTTTCTTATAATTAGGATGCGCATCCAGATAATGGACTAAACTAATTATAGGATTGTAGAACTCGTGATTTTGCTTCGTTTAGTGTATATCTCATGAATGTGCTCACCGTAGCTTCTTTGCAATTGGGTTTCAACGACGAAAATTTGATGCGTAAATTTTTATAAAAAACATATTTTTTGAGTCTAAAATTAAGAAAGTCCATTCAAATTCCGTGGAACCCCGCGTGATTTTAGTTTTTTTACGTGTGTTATCATATTCGCGAATCTGTGTGAAAATAGGTCAAAAATATATCGATACGCGAATAATATGCGTATTTTATCCAAAATCGAGTGTGGAGGCACATCCGCGGTTCTTAACCGATCCTTTTTAAATAGGTGTACTTTTGTGTATTTTCATAGGAGATTACTAAAATCGGATGCGCATAAAAATCGTGTACACATTGCGTGATTTTTAGCCATTTTTAGGGTTTTTGCATAGTAAGGTGCATCGAGCGGCACACTTTGACCGCTAAATTAAATATCGAAAAGTTCATAATTACACTGTGCTACAAAATAAGAAAAAATATTTTTTCAGGGGTTCTAATATACCAATTCTGTTTAGTTGGAGTCCCTGGATCACGAAAATACCTTTGGTTTTTCTGGGTCACTTCGAAAATTAATTTTATAACGGTAAATATAGAGAAAAACGTGGTTTCGTGGATTTTCCATTTGAAACTTGAATAACTTATTTACTTTATAACGGATTTATATTATTCTTTTTTTCTTTAGAAGAGTACAATTTCTCCTTTCAAACAAGATATATATTTGGTAAATCGGTTGAGTATTGGCTGAGTTACAGCAGTTGAATTGTGAAAAAATACGCATAAAATGACAAAATTTATTTTTCTTCGAACTGTACGATGAAATTATGATATGAAGCCATATAAGTTTTATTATATTACGGGGAAGAAAATTAAATTAGCTTTCGAAAATGATAAAAATCAAAAAAATCGGTTAAAAAATGGATGACTTATACACATTTTTGTATTGATTCTATGCATATTCTCTAAAGGAAACATGGGTCTGTATCGTCTCCTGTTAGGAACCGTTATGTTTGCAACAGGCAAAGGAAACGAGATAGACCCATAGTTCCTTTAGAGAATATGCCTAGAATCAATACAAAAATGTGTATAAATCATCCATTTTCGAACCGATTTTTTTGATTTTTATCATTTTCGAAAGCTAATTTAATTTTCTTCCCCGTAATATAATAAAACTTATATGGCTTCATATCATAATTTCATCGTACAGTTCGAAGAAAAATAAATTTTGTCATTTTATGCGTATTTTTTCACAATTCAACTGCTGTAACTCAGCCAATACTCAACCGATTTACCAAATATATATCTTGTTTGAAAGGAGAAATTGTACTCTTCTAAAGAAAAAAAGAATAATATAAATCCGTTATAAAGTAAATAAGTTATTCAAGTTTCAAATGGAAAATCCATGAAACCACGGTTTTCTCTATATTTACCGTTATAAAATTAATTTTCGAAGTGACCCAGAAAAACCAAAGGTATTTTCGTGATCCAGGGACTCCAACTAAACAGAATTGGTACATTAGAACGCCTGAAAAATTTTCGTGTCGCACAGTGTTATTGAAAGACATTGATTCGGTTTATACGAAAACCGCATGCGCATCAAGTGATTTCTACTAATACGCGAATTGCATGCTTTTAAACATTGATAATTGTATTGTAACTGTTATCAAAAGAATATACCGATATTTAACAATCATCTAAAAGAATTTAAAGAAAAGCAGCGTCGCATATCTTAGAAGATTAAGGCAAAACCGTATTCCCTTAACCATTCTAAAAAAAAATCGAAAATTCAAAAAACATTTCGATTTAATTTATTTTATTTTCCGATATCTTCATGCTTCTATTTGTTTTTCGCGACAATTTAACCGTATTTCATTGTGATTTGACAGGTATGCAAAGAAAACAAATGTGTTTATCCTTTTGTGAAGAAATTCGCGAATTACAACAAATAGGAATTAATTTAATTCATATTTGAAATATAAGATTTAAACTCGCTATAACTTTTGTGCGCAGCATCCGAATCAGATTTCAGATTTCGAATCAGCATATTTTTCTTAGCCTATGTACCAAAAATCATGAAAGTGCTCGCAAAAAAAATTTTCAAAATTTTTTTATTGGAATTTTAAAAGAATTTTGTAATTTCCCATATATACAATTTGAACTAAATTTAGTAAAGTTTTGTACTTTTCGTACACTTTTAGGTCGAATTTCCAAAAACCCTTTTGTACACCTTTCTAACATTCCATCAGTGACCCACATTCCAAATTTCAGAATTCTAGCTCTTCCCGTTCGCCTAATACAAAGGGTGCCATATTTAATACATTTTAGTTCATGTCGTACCCTTCTAGTTCGAATTTCCAAAAACCCAGCCTTATATCACGCTTATACACCAACAACAACCCACACTCAAAATTTCAAGCTTCTAGCTTTCGCCGTTTCGACTGAGCGATGATCTGTCAGTCACTCACTCACTTAACACTAAGCTCTATATATACTAACACGTTGACGGACAGTTGCGTCTAGTTCAAGTTCACTATGTGACATGAGGGCTGTAGCAGTACAAATGTGCATTTACCAGCGTACAAGTAGAAGCCTAGTGTCATGTTTTCGAATTTCACTTGTTTCTACTGTCCGTCAACGTGTTGAGATTACATACAACTGCAACTGAACTTTAACATTCAGCGGAGGAAAACCCAGAGTCCTGGACTTATGCATGTAGTCGCATTTATTATCCGAATTGCATGAAATTTTGGCATGCATCATTTATTTGTCCCAAGGATTAGCCCTATTGAAATTGGGGAAAATCGGTTTAGATTTAGATACAACTTCCATATATTCCGTTGAAATTGGTTCTGATTTAGATATAGCTCCTATATATGTTCGTCCGATTTTATGTAAGAGGAGCTGTAAACGATTAAGACAATATTTGGAATATTATTCCATATTGAGTCTATAATAATGTGTGGCAAGTCTCGTTGAAATCGGTCTATATTTAGATATAGCTCCCTATATTATACTTACTGGTTTTTGTATGTCTGATTGAAGAACAATAGCCCCCTCATTTATACGCTGACAAGGTTTTCAAGTCATTTCTTTACTGAAACTGAAATTTTCATACGAAGTTCACAATTTATTCCATGTGATTAGAAATGATATGCATATACATATATCGGTTGATTAAAACCGGTAAAAATCCGGTTTATTTGTGAAAATTTGGTTGAAAAATTTAGCGATCCGGTCTAGCTCCCTCAAGTAGCTGTTGTTAACGTGTTTCGCATAATGAAATATATTTATGGTAACCATTTCAGACGAACCATGATACATTTTTATCTATCCAAATCATTCGATTTTTTATACTCTTCACCTCATTGTGGTACAGGGTATTATGTCTTTGTGCATATGTTTGTAGATAGCAAAGGGAAACGAGATAGGCATATGGTTTCTTTTGAAAATATGCACGGAATCACCTTTGAGTCGATTTATGCATGTCCGTCCGTCTTTCTTTTGATTTAAAAAATGTACAGGTCGCATTTATGATTCGAATGAACTGAAATTTGGCACAGCTCACTTATGTGGGCCAAGGACGAACCATACTGAAGAACATTGAAATATGTGAGAAAATCTGTTCAGATTTAGATATAGATCCCATATAAAGTTTCGTCCGATTTCCGATTGAAACGAAATTTTATACACCATTTCAAATTGAGAGTAGAATGACGTTATTTCGTTTTGTAAAAATTGGTGGAGATTGCCTGGATCTCTGATATATATTTTCGACCGACTTGAGAATAGCATGTGTCAAGTTTACTTTAAATCGTTTTACATAAGGTTTTGTCCCATTGTACACAAATGACACTAAATCTGTCGGAATGAGGTTGCAGAATAGCATAGGTTTGAAGATTGGCATATGTATGGATTGATCTTAGTCGGTTTACATATAGATAAAGATGACATATTTAAGTTCGTTCAATTTCAAGTCAATGTTCCTTTGAAAAGGCGACGTTTGTTAGGATACATATTAAAGAAATTTTGAAATTTAATAAAAATAATACAATCGTTTGGTGTCTAGTCCGGCGGATGCATTAAAACTTCCCAACCAAGGTCCCGAAGTTTCTGGTAAGTCACTGTAGATGTGTGTGGCCTAGTGTTGACCTGGTGGAACACGACACCTCTCCTGTTGGCCAATTCTGGCCGTTGTTGATATCAGAAGCCGAGCCAAATAAGGATTTTGTTCAGTATTTTATATTACCAGATCTTGGTTCGATCTTGCTCTTTAGACCATTAATAAGCACTTGTACAAAATTTCATCCAGTTGATATTTTTGTCCGCTGTTAATATGAACTCACGACATAGTGCGTCCCTACCTCTTATATAGTTATTTGGAGATTATCAGAATCCTGTTCATTGCTATTTTAATGTTTTCATCAGTTTTGAGTTTTTCGGCGACCAGGACGAGCATGGCTATTCGCATCTTCTCAGCCTTCCTTAAAGCGGTAATATCACAATTGAACTTTTGTTTTACTCATAATAAACTCACCGAACTAATTAATTTTTTTACACTAAACTTAAAAATGCACCAAAAGTTCTTAATTTATCTTTTTTATCATTTTGTCATCGACATGACTTCTGAAGAACTCCGAGAAGTATTATTAACATATAATTAGAGAAGGTATATAAAAGTTGTCGGCATATTCCCAAATCATATAATATTCAATTGATGGTCAATGTCACCCAAATCAGTGCCTAGAGACTGAGTTTTAAAGGCAATAAAGTGAAGAATATTTCCAATTATATCATTTAAAATTTTATTTCGAAACAAAAACGTAATATTGATAACAAAACGTAAACAAACAGCGGCGGTCGTCATCATATAACATTCAATGCTTAACTGGAGGCAAATATGTATTTTTGGGTGATTCATCCAAACTGCCAATAACTGAAGTTACTCGGGAGACTCCTTCATTGGAGACTTGAGTATTACCACCTAAGTTATCATATTTAGCCTGGATATGATGTTGCACATGTTCAGCTTCTTTATTTGTTCTGTATTTAATGAAGAATACTTCAGGTTTGGCTGTGGTAGTAACAGGTTCTTCAACATGGCTTTCAAGTACTGGAGCATCGGTTTTCTTAGCCAAAAGATAAATGTATGTTTTGTCTTCATTGGCGGCAGGAATGATGCGGATTTTAGCCTTTTGTTGTTTAGCCACTGGTGCTTTAATGAAGACAACATTGTAACTTTTACGTGGTGCTCCTAGGACAATATCTCTATAGATGACTTCAGGTTCATCGTCTTCGGGTGCAGAGTAAGTGTAAAAACGTTTGTTTACAATTGGCTCCTGTTTCCATTGAGTTTTTGCATTGTCTTGCACTTCATTTGTTGTCTCCTCCTGTACTTTGGGATAGTGATAGCCTTCGGGTGCAGCTAAAACTAAGGCAGCCAAACTCAAAATCTATAAAAAAATACGAAATGACAATTTAGTGTATATTTTAAAGATATCATCTTTATAGAATACTTACAATCAATGAACGCATGTTTTTTTTCGAAAACAAAATATTCAATGAATTATTGCTGGTTAAACTATGTATAGTTTAAAATGCTAAAGGCTTTTAGTATTTATACTAGTTCTAGAAATTCAGATATCGATCATTTATTTTCGCACTTTCAATTTTAAAACATTAGCCTACTTGGCTTTTTTGACTTCTTAGCAGTTTCAGCGTCCGCTGTCATTTATCATTCGAAATACTATTTATTTTTAGCACAAATTATAATTTTGTGAATGAATGCGAATTTTGCTGTTCTTCATTATTGGCAGGTATTATGAAAAATAATTACATTGGCGAACGAAACTGCGAATGTTCCACCTTACTTTTAATTAATTTATAAACGACAAAATATGCGAAGACATTGGTATAAAACACCCGATTTTTCCGGTGAAGATCTGTAAAGTGTTTTGTTTATTGTTGTTGTATTATTATCTATAATCTTGTAATTTTTATAACATAATCGTATTTTGAGGAATCTGGACTCGTTTTTAACAGAATTTTGAAATAGCCCCCACATAAAGCTTCCGCCAAATTTTCGGTAATTTTAGGTCCGACCGTAAATGCTCCATTTTCTGCATTTCGGGGTGTTAAAAGACGCAAAATTATGCCTATGGGTATGATTACTTGCAATCCGAATTTCTCGTGAGTAAATCTATAATCAAATGGGCTTATACAAAATATTAAAACAAAAGTTATAAATTGAAATCCCGGATTTATTCAATACTTGCCTCAAAATAAAATTGTATGAACAATTTTCGTAAACACGATTGCTTCTGTTATTTTTAGCAATTCACAAATATATTTGTAACCATAAAGTAAAGTTAAAAAGTCGGGCGAGGCCGACTGTATGATACCCTTCACCAATTTGGGTATGTAAAAGATATACTCCTACGATTCTTATTGTAAAAACGATGTTAAGTTCGGCGCGGCCGACCCTCCACCATGAGGATGACAATCAAAATATCTAAAATTAAAAGATGCTCCTAGGAGAAAACTCATGTTGTTATAGGACCTTGCACATACCGAAAAAAAAACGATAGAAATACATGAATGAAATTCTAAAAATATTTAATAGTGGAGCTACCGTTTTATGGGGCTATAAAAACGGATCAATATTGACTTCTGGTAGTGAGATTTGACAGCCAATGGGAATACAAAATACCAAATTACAGCCAATTCGGTTGAAAAACATAACCAAAATTCTCAAAATAGCGACATGTGTCAATTTTAATAATTTTTAGTGCGGAGATGTGGTGTTACTGTTATGAGAACCCAATATACCAAATTACAGCCACGATTGAACAACGTGTCAAAAATTCCCATATTGGGGGCTACACTAAATGAGAACCCAAAAAAAAAAAAAAAACAAATTACAGCTAAATCGTTTGGAAAACGTGTAAAGAACCCCAAAAAACGAATATTGGCGGTACCTTTATATGGCGGCTACACGTGGGCCGAAATATGCCATTTGCAATACCAAACACCCTAGGAGTAGGGGAGACTGGGGCACATTCCACAGATATAAAAACTGTATGGCTGGTTATTGTCGTCTAATACTTAATTAAAAAAAAAATAGTGCAAAAACATACAATAAAATAGTATTAGTTAAAAATGTTTACAGTCTTGTAAAAAAAGTAAAATTCGCTGAATGTGCCCTACCCGGGTTAGCTTCGGCATTTGATGGGACACTTTCGGCACCATAGTCATAGCCTGGTAGTTATCACCGCTATCAGTCTGGTTGACATTCAGATCCTCTAAATTTAAGACTATATATTCTAGCGGCGGACGTCAATACAAGCTTGTTTGGTCTTATATATGTAATTTCGAACCATATTAAAGAATATTTTTAAAGAAAAACTGTACTTTGTTCACAAAAATACATGGACGGACAGACGGACATGCATAAATCGACTCAGAAAGTGATTCTATGCATGTTCTCAAAAGGAACCATGCGTCTATCTCGATTATTTTTGCCTGTTACAAACATATGCACAAAGACATAATACCCCGTATCTCAGTGTGGTGAAGGGTATAAATACTGTTTTTACACGAAATACTTACGAAATGGAAAGGAAATATTACAAAAACTGCTGTAAAAATATAAAAATCCGCGCATCTAAGTTTATTAGCTAGAGATTTCAAACTTTGCAGTTATTTAATTTTGATATTCGATACTTATAGATCGAAGCCAGTGATGTAGGGTGAGAGCTTCATATTGAAAACGCGATTGCCGAATGTGCCCCGATGCCGAAGAATTATCTTTTAAGATAGTTTTCATATAATGGCACCCCATTACTTGATATTTTTATACCCTCCACCATAGTATGGAGGTTACATTAATTTTTTTTTACGTTTGCAACTCATCGAGTATATATATTCTTGCTCAGCGTAAAATTCTATGACGATATAGCCATGTCCGTCTGTCTGTTTGCTACCTTGGGTTCTCCACAAAAAATTATAAATATAGGTCCACTTTTTCTGGTAGCCCCCATATAACGGTACCTCCTAATTTTCAGTATTTTGGGGGTTTTGATAGTATTTTTCCGCCGAATTAGCTGTAATTTAGTATTTTGAGTTCTTAATAGGTACCAAATCTCTCTACAAAAAATTATGAATATAGGTCCATTTTTTCGGATAGCCCTCATATAAAGGTACCCTCAATTTTCGGTATTTTGGGGTCTTGAACGCGTTTTTCAACCGAATTTGCTGCAATTTGGAATTTTGTAGTCGTATATGGTAAGAAATGTCCCTACAAAAATGTTTAATATTTGCCCCCTTTTTAGGGTAGTCCCCATATAACCCCATTTTTTTACCCTTCACCACACTGTGCTTCAGGGTATTATGACTTTGTGCGTATGTTTGTAACAGGCAAAAGGAAACGAGATTTTTGTGAGCAAAGTACAGGTCGCATTTATGATCCGAATTGGATGAAATTTGGCACAGCTCATTTGTTTGGCCCAAGGACGAACCCTATTGAAATTGGGAAAAATCGGTTCAGATTTAGATATAGCTCCCATATATATTTTCGTCCGATTTAATGTAAATGGTGTACCAAAGTCCCTATATATATTTCGATTTGGACGAAATTTGGCATAACGTACTGAATTGAGCCTAGAGTGATGTCTGCCAAGTTTCGTGAAAATCGGTCCATATATAGTTTAGTCCGATTTCATGTAAATGCTGCACCAAAATCCCAAAGTCCCTATATATCTTTCGGTTGACACGAAATTTGGCATAACGTACTGAATTGAGCCTAGAGTGATGTCTGCCAAGTTTCGTGAAAATCGGTCCATATTTAGATATAGCTCCCATATATAGTTTCGTCCGATTTCATTTAATTGTGCACCAAAGTCCCTATATATCTTTCGATTTTCACGAAATTTGGCATAACGTACTGAATTGACCCTAGAATGATGTCTGGTATGTTTCGTGAAAATCGGTCCAGACTTAGATATAGCTCCCATATACAGTTTCGTCCGATTTCATGTAAATTGTGCACCAAAGTCCCTATATATCTTTCGGTTGGCACGAAATTTGTCATAACGTACTGAATTGAGGCTAGAGTGATGTCTGCCAAGTTTCGTGAAAATCGGTCAGATTTAGATATAGCTCCCATACAGTTTCTTCCGATTTCATGTAAATGGTGCACCAAAGTCCCATATATCTTTCGATTTGCACGAAATTTGGCATAATATACTGAATTGATGCTGGAATGATGTGTGCTGAGTTTCGTGAAAATCGATTCAGATTATGATATATTTTCGTCCGATTTAATCTAAATAATGTACAAAGTTCTTACGTTGCATAGCGTTTTGAATTTAATCCAGAATAATGTGTGCCATGTTTAGTGAAAATCGGTTGAGATTTAGATGTAGCTCCCTTATATTATAGATTGAGTTTAAGTAATTGATATATAGGGGAGACTGGGGCACCTTCGGCATCGGGGCACCTTCGGCAATCGCGTTTTCGTTATGAAGCTCTCACCGTACATCACTAGTTTCGATACATAGGTATCGAATATCGAAATAAATAACTGACACAAGGTTTGAAATTTCTAGCTAATAAGCTTATGTAGATACTTAGGTTTTTGTATTTTTATAGATGTTTCTGTAATATTTCAAATCCATTTCGTAAGTATTTCGTGTATAAAACTTTTTAAATTTTTAAAACAATATTATTAAAAATTGGTTAACTACGATGTGTATTATTGTACAAATATTTAAAAATATAATGTTTTTACAAAACTGATCGAAAAAAATGAAAAAAAACTATAAAAAGTACATTCGGGGTACATTCGGCATTTTAAAGTGGGGCACATTCGGCCATATACAGATTGTGCAATATTATTTCCTTAAACTGTTTTTGAGTTTGTCTTTAAAACTAATCCTTTAATTTGGTTCGAAATTGCATATATAAGATGAAACGTGCTTGTATTGACGAAAATGTGATAGAAAACCCCTATTTCTGATGGTGTGTGCGACCTTGAGATGTAAACGTCCGCCGCTAGAAAATAAAACCCTATAATTCAAACATTGTGTGGCGTATTAAAACCAAATAGAGCCTTTAGATAATCAGAATTTCAACCAGACTGATAGCGATGACAATTACCCGGCTATGACTATGGTGCCGAATGTGCCCCATCAAATGCCGAAGCTACCCCGGGTTGGGGCACATTCGGCGAATTTGACTTTTTTTACAAAACTGTAAAATTTTTTAACTAATACTATTTTTATATATCTTTTTGGTAGTATTTTTCATAATTAAGTGTCAGAGGACAATAATCAGCCATATAGTTGTTATATATGTTGAATATGTACTGAGATATAGAGCTCTAAAAAAAAGTGCCGAAGGTGCCCCAGTCTCCCCTACATAACACTTTATTTATTCGTCTTAACAACAACACAATAACGAAACAATTTCGTTTGAAGACACGCCGCTTCAATCATAAAAAAACAACAATCGTAAACGTCAAATGCCTAAATAATGATAATATCTCGAGGGAGTAATCTGTTCCATGGAGAAAAGAGATTACTAAGGAAAGGTGGGGAACACTCCGGTGACATGACATCTCGTCACCCTTGGTAAGTATTTGGATCCCGGGAATTGCTTAAATGGAAATTTGAACTTTATCTATCAAGAATTATATGGTGACATAATGGCATGATGATTCTTTAGCTATGTATATGTGCTCCAGGTACTTTACACCAAAGAACCTGGCCTATCCGACAAGAGCTAGTCGAAGAAAATCTAGCATGCCACCCCAGGTGTAAAGTACATGGTGATTCCAAAAACGCACGCAACAATCTCGTAATTTTTATAACATAATCGTATTTTGAGGAATCTGGACTCGTTTTTAAAAGAATTTTGAAATAGCCCTCACATAAAGCTCCAGCCAAATTTTTGGTAATTTTAGGTCCGACCGTAAATGCTCCATTTTCTGCATTTCGGGGTATTAAAAGATGCAAAATTATGCCTATTAGTCAATATTTTCAACATTTTTTTCGGGAAAAGCTTTCGATACGATAGTACGGTGGGTATGATTACTTGCAATCTGAATTTCTCGTGAGCTAATCGATAATCAAATGAGCTTATACAAAATATTAAAATAAAAGTTATAAATTGAAATCCGGGATTTATTCAATACTTGCCTCAAAATAAACTTGTATGAACAATTTTTGTAAACACGATTACTTCTGTTATTTTTAGCAATTCACAAATATATTTATAACCAGTAAGTATAGTTGTGTGGTCGCTCCAGAGGCCGCAATTATGGCCCAAACATCGCGATTTTTGCATGGAGAAGGGGATCGGGCCAAAGAATAAGCATGCCTGCTTTGATAAAAATCGGTCAATATTTAGCGGGTCAAATGAACCCTGACTTTTGTGTGAAAAATTACAAAATTTGTATTCTATAGCGTATATATTTACTCCTGAAAGACATAGACTCAAGAATTTGATAGTATATCCAAAATGAGTAGTTCACCTTTAAATCGATACCAATTCGGATGTGGGAGTTACACGTAAATATTTGCAGGAGCTTACGTATTCATATATTATTTAGTAACATATTACCACAATAGAGGGGGGAAATACAGCGCTCATCGCTTTGAAATTTTCCTTGAGGATCCAGGTATGGTCAAGGACAACGCCTATAATTTTCTGTGATGATTCATCCACTTCAACTCTCAGAATAAACTATATATTTATATTCAATAGTTTTTAAGATATTTATATATAACTAGCGGGACCCGTGGCGCTTCGCTGCCCCTGCTGAAGTTATCAAATTAAAATTTAGATATGATCAATTAGTAATCATACAGCTGCAATTTTTACTAAATTTCACCAAACTTTGCACACATCATTCTAGACTTAAGTCAGTACGCTCTGCTAAAATTCGTGCAATTGAAAAGATTTCCAGGGACTTTGGTGCATCAGTTACCTAAAATCGGGCGAAACTATATATGGGAGCTATATCTAAATCTGAACCGATTTTCATGAAACTCAGCACACATTATTATAGACGCAGTTCAGTACGTTATGCCAAATTTCGTTCAAATCAAAAAATATATAGGGTCTTTGTTGCACCAATTAACTTAAACCGGATGGAAATATATATGGGACAACAATGCCATAACATTCTCCACTAATAAATAGTTGTTTTTTTATAAAAACAACAAACTGTGATTCAGCCTGACTATTTTGCAAAAACAAAATACGGGAGCTATATCTAAATCTGAACCGATTTTCACGAAACTTGGCACACATCATTCTAGACTTATTTCAGTATGCTATGCCAAAATTCGTGCAAATCAAAAGATTTCCAGGGAATTTAGTGAACTATTTTCCTAAAATCGGGCGAAACTATATATGGGAGCTATATCTAAATCTAAACCGATTTTCATGAAACTTGGCACACATCATCCTAGACTTACTTCATTACTCTGTGCCAAATTTCGAAACGCATATAGGGACTTTAGTACATAATTTACCTTAAATCAGACAAAGATATATATGGGATGTATATCTAAATCTGAACCGATTTTCACGAAAGTTAACACACATCATTCTTGACCCTATTCATTACACTGTGCAAAATTTTGTGTAAATCGAAATATTTATAGGGACTTTGGTACACCATTTACCTTAAATCGGACGAAAATATATATGGGAGCTATATCTAAATCTCAACCGATTTTTCTTGGGCCAAACAAATGAGCTGTGCCAAATTTCATCCAATTCGGATCATAAATGCGACCTGTACTTTTTTTACAATTTAACATGGACAGACGAACGGACATGCATAAATCGACTCAGAAAGTGATTCTATGCATATTCTCAGAAGGAACCATGGGTCTATCTCGATTATTTTTGCCTGTTACAAACATATGCACAAAGACATAATACCCTATACCACAGTGTGGTGAAGGGTAAAAAAATTGATCCTTTCCCAGTCTCTGACTTTTTCTGATGATAAAACGATTTATAATTAAAATGCACACTATTCGCTTCAATGTTTTTCTTTTCTTTTTTATTTTGAAATCCAAATAACATTTTGTTTAATTGTGTTCAAAATAAACTTGTTTTCACAAACTGACAAAAAATGGAAAATTATGTCAACCAATTTTTTTTAAATTTTTTTCATATGTATGTATGTATTTCAAAATATATCCTCATCGTTCGAAAATATATCCCCATCGGATGATGAGTATTTGTATCCATTAAGATATACCCATAGAAAATATTCTACATATGTACATTCTTTCAGATGTATTAATACTTTTGATGTTATTACTCCTCAGTTTTATCTAACCTATGTTACTTCCATGGGATCCTTGTCTTACTATGAACATTTTAGAAAAATATGTTTAGTGGTTTTTGAGTCCACAAACAATATGTTTTCTATTTTCTACGTATAGATTTAAATGCAATGATGTGTGCATTTTTCCTTGTCCGCGATCATGTTGTGTGGATGATGCGCATTTACACTCACGTTACTCAGCAATAGTTTGAAGTCGGTATCTGTAACCGTACTTAAGATATACACAAATTACATGTTCATAATTTTTGAGGTATGATTACGTTCGATGCTATAACACCGCATCATCGGGAAATCTTAGAAGTTTTTAAAGCATATGTTATTCCCAGGGCATGTTATGACGTTCTGTGAAAATCTCAGTAAAATCTTTTCAGCATTTTTAGAGTCTACAAACAAAAAATTTTCAATTTTCAATATGCTGATTTTTAAAATGCAGTACAAAGTGCATTTTCCGTTGATCGTTTCATGCTCATTTTTGTATGGATTGTGTGTATTCACGCATTCGTTATTCAGGCAAATTTTGAAAACGATATATGTGACCATTGTCAAGATAAACGCATATTACATGTTCAGAAATTTTCAGGTATGGTTACTATTGATGCTATAACTCCGCATCAACGCGGAATTTTACAAGTTTATATAGCCTATGTTACTTTCAGGGCATGCCCCGACATACAGTGTAAATCTTATTAAGATCTGTTCAGCGGTTTTGGCGTCTATCGGTAACATACAAACAAACAAACAAATTTTTTTCTATTTTATATACATATATAGATAACAACATTTTTTTTGCAGACTTCAGTTAATTTTAAACTGTACATTTCTTAAAAACTATTGAATATATAGTTTATTCTGAGAGTTGAAGTGGACTTCGACGTAGATTATTTTATTCTTTGACATAATGTACCTAAAATAAAGATTAATGTTACTTTAATGCACTTTGTCGAAAAAAATACTGGGAAATGTCTCTGAAAAAAGTACAAGAACATTTTGAATTTTTGGTTCAAAATGTATGACTATATATTCGGTATATACGTTATATATACAGATTTCTCTTGTTCAGGAACTTATGCTAAAAATTGATGGAGAATATTTTTGTCCCTTACACTATCCTTCTAAAACGACATCTTGTGGGAAAAATGGGTAACAACTGGTAATAAGTACGATATTATCCCAAAAATGAGTTTTTGTTTTTCAAGATTTTTGACGTTTAGGCTGATTTTTGAGTTTTAGTCTATTCTGAGACTTATAGTAAAACTTTATGGCGAACATTTCTGTAGAATATTCTGAGCAGCTTTAACCTCGTTTTGAATGAGTTTTCATTAACTCCTGGAAAAGGGGAGAGAAAAGACCCATTCAATGAGTCGGTTGAGGGTTAAAATTGTATATCAAAATATTCCTAAATATTTTATCAGTAATATTGCCGAAGACACTATATACCTAAAATGTAAGGATTTCCAGAAATCATAATTCGAAAATTATCAAGATTCTTGAAAAGAGGGAATTTTGCCCTCCTTTTAAGGTTACCTCCCGACGTAAACTTTCAAAACGCCGATACACGTGTCTTCTTTTGTTAGCCCCTCTTTCATAATCTGTTGGAATTTCCCGGTAATTATTAAAAAAAATTCAAATTTGTCGCACAGTGTAATAAGAATAATACATAATGATAATAATAATATTAAAACAGCAATATATTCTGATGCAGTTTATTTTGTACATAGTGAATTCTTTTTTTCAACTAAAGGTTCGGCAAAACCCTATTTTCTATAGGCATACACATACAAATGGGTCTGCGACAAAAAATATGGCTAATGGAAATCACATGAAAGAATGAAGGTCGTCGAATACCAATGTCAGTTAATGGATGTTATTCATAAGTGATAACTCAATTAATATTTAGACCTACCACATATAAATATAAGAGTTTTCAATAATTTTAAACATACTCTGTCTTCAAGTCTTCACTAAACAAATTGGATTTTATTTTAAAGCAATCTACTCAATTTCACAAAGTTTAAAACATGCGTGGTTTTGTGGTAAATAAAACAATTTCAATAAATACAAACATTTTGTTAATTAAAACTTTTGTAGGTATTGTATTTGGTTGCCTTGTGTTCCGCTTCCCATCAAGGCTATGATTATTCTAGTCAGAAAACTGCCGACAATGCTGGTCTTTATGGTACACAATCATTGGTGACAAAACGTTTCTTCATTCATTCTGCACCTGAAGAGAAGGGTGTCGAAGTACAGAAACATGACATTGCTGTGGGTACACTACGTACAAATTACAATGTAGTTTTTGTTAAAGCACCCAGCGATAAACAACAAAAGATTAAGGTCCGTGTCACCCCAGCTGTTAATGAAGAAAAGACTGCCGTCTATGTTTTGTCCAAGAAAGCTGATGCTCCTCTCCTTGAGACTATTGTTCATGAGCCTGCAACTACCACCAGCAAACCTGAAGTTGCATTCATTCAATATCGCACCAATGAAGAAGCTGAACATGCTCAACATCACATCCAAGCTGAATACGATCGTTTAGGTGGTACCACCAGCATCTCGGATGAAGGTGTTTCAGATGTCAAATCGGTAATTGGTATTTTGGATAGCCTTCAACAGGGAGGTGTTTCATCGAATTATTTGCCACTACAACATTAAGATTATTAATTAGTTTTCACAACACTTGTTATAATTGTTAACTAAATGTAATAAAATTTCAATATTTAAGAAAGGCTTTATATATGTTTTTAGACTCCTTTAGTATTTTCGGTCTGTATATCAGGAGTAATATACGGCTGAATGTTTCAGTTATTTTAATGATAGATATATAAGTCAATATGTGACAATATAGTTTACATTTATCCTGACCTTTGTTAGTATAATTTTCATACTATTGCATTATTGGGAATCATATTAATTGTTTAACCCTTCGGGAAATATCTTGGAGTTTACAGTGACCATGGCACATGTTCCTCTATGCAGATTCATCAACAACATTTCCCACCAGCATTTTAGGTTTTTACTTATAATTGATAAAACGAATAAGTTAGTCCCCATTATAATATTCGTTTGTATGCCAGGTTTAAAATAATATGTTTAAATTAGGCGTAGTCGTCATCTTTTTTATACACTTGACCACACTGTGGTACTGGGTATTATGTCTTCGTACATATGATTGTAACAGCAAAAGGAAACGAGATAGACCCATAGTTCCTTTTGAGAATATGCATGGAATCACTTTCTGAGTCAATTTATGCATGTCCATCCGTTCATCCGTATGTTGGTGTTAAATTGTAAACAAACTACAGGTCGCATTTATAATCTGATTTTGATGAAATTTGGCACAGCTCATTTTAAATTAAAACATATTGATATATTTACATTTTAACAAAAATACATTTGTAACAATTGTTACAATAAAATACTAAAATATTAATGTTGAGGTGGCAAATAATTCGAAGATACGGCATCTTTTTGAAGGCTATCCAAAATACCAATTACAGATTTTACATCTGAAACACCTTCATCCGAGATGCTGGTGGTGCCACCTAAACGATCGTATTCAGCCTGGATGTGATGTTGAGCATGTTCAGCTTCTTCGTTGGTGCGATATTGGATGAAAGCAACTTCAGGCTTGCTAGTGGTAGTTGCAGGCTCATGAACAATAGTCTCAAGAAGAGGAGCATCAGCTTTCTTGGACAAAACATAGACGGCAGTCTTTTCTTCATTCACAGCTGGGGTGACACGGACCATAATCTTCTGTGGTTTATCACTGGGTGCTTTAACAAAAACTACATTGTAATTTGTATGTGGTGTACCCACAGCAATGTCATGTTCCTGTACTTCGACCCGCTTCTCCACAGGTGCAGAATGAATAAGGAAACGTTTTGTCGAAAATGATTGTGTACCATAAAGACCAGTATTGTCGGCAGTTTTCTGACTAAAATAATCACAGCCTTGTTGGGAAGCGGAGCACAATCCAACCAAACACAATACCTAGATTATTAATTACATAATTGATTACATTAATTAACAAAATGTTTGTATTTAATTTCAATATTAAAATCTTTTAGTTACCATAAATCCACGGATGTTTTCAGTTTTGTGAAACTAAATGGAATGCTTTAAAATAATATAGAATTTGTTTAGCGAAGGTTTGAAAATAGAGTATGTTTAACATTTAGAAAACTCTTATATTTATATTGGTAGGTCTAAATTTTAATGGAATCATCACTTAAGAATAGCATCAGTTAACTGATATCGGTATTCGACGACCTTCGAAAAGTCGTTTATTCTTTCATGTCTTTTCCATTAGCCATATTTGTTGTCTCAGGAACATTTGAATTGCTTTGTATGTATGCCTACAGGAAAAACAACGGGTTTTGCCGAGACTACACGTAAATGTTTTAAATGCTACGACATTATTTTAGTTAATACAATTATTGAAAAATTAATATATTAACCAAATTGATATTTGTTTGTTATAAAGATTCGTAAGGAATGTTTGCCCTTCCTTCGTTTGTAAATCATTACCGATCCTACAAAAAATATTTATTCTTAGTCAATGTAAAATCCTTTTTATAGCCTTCACCACACTGTGGTACAGGGTATTATGTCTTTGTGCATATGTTTGTAACAGGCAAAAGGAAACGAGATAGACACATAGTCCTTTTTAGAATATGCATAGGGTCACTTTCTGAGTCGATTTATGCATGTCCGTCCGTCCGTCTGTAGATGTTAAATTGTAATCAAAGTACAGGTCGCATTTATGATCCGATTTGAATGAAATTTGGCACAAGTCACTTATTTGGCCCAAGGACGATCCCTATTGAAATTGGTGAAAATCGGTTCAGATTTAGATATAGCTCCCATATATATTTTCGTCCGACATAGGCACTAAAGCACCTATATATCTTTCGATTTGCACGAAATTTGGCATAGCGTACTGAATTAGGTCCAAAATGATGTGTGCTAAGTTTCGTGAAAATCGGTTCAGATTTAGATATAGCTCCCATATATTTTCGTTCGATTTAAGATAAACGTGGCACCAAAGTACCTATATATTTTTCGATTTGCACGAAATTTAGCATAGCGTACTGAATTAGGTCCAGAATGATGTGCGCTAAGTTTCGTGAAAATCGGTTTAGATTTAGATATAGCTCCCATATATATTTTCGTCCGATTTTAATGTATATGGTGTCCCAAAGTCCCTATATATCTTTCGATTTGCACGAAAATGGTATGCCAAAGTCCCTATATATCTTCCGATAGTTGGCAAATTTTGATTCGCTACTGAATAATATCGCTTCCATTTGAAAAAAGCGCATTTTTCGCAGGACGATTTTCTCCATCGATATGCTTAAATGTCACTAAAGCACCTATATATCTTTCGATTTGCACGAAATTTGGCATAGGATACTGAATTAGGTCCAGAATGATGTGAGCTAAGTTTCGTGAAAATCGGTTCAGATTTAGATATAGCTCCCATATATATTTTCGTCCGATTTAAGGTATATAGTGTGGCAAAGACCCTATATATCTTTCGATTTGCACGAAAATGGTATGCCAAAGTCCCTATATATCTTCCGATAGTTGGCAAATTTTGATTCGCTACTGAATAATATCGCTTCCATTTGAAAAAAGCGCATTTTTCGCAGGACGATTTTCTCCATCGATATGCTTAAATGTCATAGTAAACACCAAACCGTTATCCAATTGCAACTAAATTTTGCACTGTTCTTAAAAATAAGCCTTAAGGTTACCCCCCCCATTCTCGGTGTCAAAAATTTTTTTGATTTAATTCGAATCTACTCTAATTATAGAATGTTCCTACAAAATTTCAAGTGAAAATCTCAAGAACTCTTGAAGACATAGCCGATTTATTGTGTCAGCATCAAGTGACGGCTAAAGGGCTTCTCAAACTTTAAACGCGTTTTTCTCAAAACGAATGGCGGGCACGATAACTCAAAAACTAATAATCCAATCGGTTTCAAATTTGGACACGTTTCTCTGGGAGTGTGTAGCTCTCGTATGAACTAGGATAAAGCCAATCGGTGAAGATCTTCCTTATTTTTTAACTTAGTTTGTGGTAAAAAATAGGCGATTTTCCAAAAAAAAATTTTCAAAGTTCCGCCATTTTGTTAATTGTTGTGCGAAGTCAATAATCCTAGTTCGTACGAGAGCCAGACATGTCCTCTTTCTAACACAGTTGGAATTTTCGGATTCCGATGTTCCAGTGAGGAGTTATCATGCCCGCCATCGAAAATATGGACTTTTCTTTGAACCCAAAAAACAAGAACAAAAAAACAACAACAACAAATGGTAAATATTTTTTCTTCCTTTTTAAATCTTCAAATATATATGTGCCAAGTTACAAACCTTAACAAGCATTGGTATTCATTTACCAGCCCATTTAAAATCTTAAAAATAAAAAATCGAGAATGGGGAGGGGTTCCCTTAAATGCAGCTTCAAAGTCCATAAGTCTGCCACATTGACATGAAACATTTGATTGGACAAATATAACATGAAAACCAATAAGGAAAGTTCAAAATTCGGACGGGGCCGACTATATGATCAAATTCACCACTTTGGGTACATACAAGGGAGGCTCATATCAACAATATTCTTTAGATAGAATAGACATAGCATCGTTGGGGGATCATTGAAATGGAATCGGACGAAATTAACTGCGTACATAGATATTTAAAGTAAATTAAAACAACCTGTACACATACCCATCTAAAATTTATGAAAACTTTAATCTATGCATTTTGATGAAATCGGATGAAAATATATATGAAAGCTATATCTAAACCTGAAACGTTTTCAATCCAATACGCTATGCAACATTTCCTGTAAAGCGAACAGACATAGGATATTCCATTTGAACCATTTGCATAAAATCGGACAAAAATATATGGAGCTATATCTACATCTGATCCGATTTCAACAACAAAATACATAGTGTACATAGGCCCCCATATTTATTCGACTTGCACGAAATTTGGCGTAGCATGCTAAATTGAATCTAGAATGACGTGTGTTAAGTTTTATGAAAATCGGTTCAGATTTCGATATAGCCCCTATATATATTATTATATATTTTCCCCCGATTTTAAGTAAATGATGCACCAAGCACCGAAAATATTTCCGATATGAACAGAACGTGCTGAAATTAGTATAAAATAACCTGTGACAAGTATCGTTGAAGTCGGTTTAGATAAAGCTTCCATTAATATTTTCATCCCCCTAACTCCTCATTTTTGTCAGATGACGCGAAATTTTTCACACCGTACAAAATTAAGTATAGAATGACACAATTGATTTTGTACATAATTTGTCTCATTCTCTATCTATCCAAATGAAGAGTTTAGTATAAACTACCGAATGACATGTTCATGGATTGATCTAAGTCGGGTTGGTATAGTTCACATATTTCAGTTCATACAATTTCATGTCGATGGCCTTTCGAGAATGCGTCAAAAAGTGTTGAACGGTATCATATATTCTTACTGGTTTATATTATGATTTTGTAAAAATTTGGCTATAACCACATAAATTACACAAAAATATAGACATCAAGTTTAGTTAAAATGTATATTCCCATCGCCGTTTTAATTGTGTTTCTCATAGGCATGAAAAAACATTAAACCTTTTTTGAATGAATGAGATTTATTGAAAATTAATTTTCAAAGCCGTTAAAAATTAGAAAACTCTTGAAGGCTAAGTAACACAAAATGAAGTAGCTTTTAAAATAAATCAAATATAAATACAGCAATTTTAATGATGTCAGCATATTCAGAACTATCGATACGTCAAATAAACATCAATTTTGTATTCTCTTCAAATTAAAATAAAAATGCGTGGATTATTGGTAACTACAGTTTATTAATTTTGAAATAAAAACAAATATTTAACAACAACATTATTTTTTGTAGATTTTATCCTTTGTTGCTTTCTGCTCGGCAGCACCAAGTGGCGGTTATGATTATCCCAGTCAGAAAAGCGTAACTACAAGTTATGAATCTCCCACATGGATTAACAAACGTTTCTTTATTCACTCCGCACCCGAAGAAGAAGGTTTCGATGTCCATCATCATGATATATCCGTTGGAACTCCACGCAAAAATTACAATGTCGTCTTCGTCAAATCGCCTGCTGAGAAGCAACAAAATATTAAAGTTCGTGTGACGCCTGCTGTTAACGAAGAAAAGACTGCCGTTTATGTGCTTTCCAAGAAGACTGATGCTCCTCTTCTCGAAACGTATGTCCAAGAACCTGTCACTACTACAAGCAAGCCAGAGGTTGCTTTCATTAAATATCGCACCAATGAAGAAGCCGAACATGTTCAACATCAAATTCAGGCTGAATACGATCGTTTAGGTGGCTCCAGCATTGCTTCTGATGAAGGTGTCTCTGCTATAAAATCAGTTATTGGTATTTTAGATAGTTTGCAACAAGGCGGTGCAAGTGGTTCTGTAAATGCAGCTGATTCCTCATCTAGTGCATATTTACCTCCTACGGAGAGTCATTGATTTTGTTAGCATATGTATTTACACTTAGATAAATGATGGATTTGTTAAATAATATTAAATTAATTATTTTATTTCGTAGATAAATATATTATTTTGCTAATTTATATAAATGGTTCTTTAAGTGCAAAAATTAAAAAATATATATATTTATTTATATATTGAATTGATTCCAAGAATGAGGAGTAAGGGTTCATTGAGATGTTTTGCACATTTATTTCAGAAAGCTACACACAACGACTCAAAATTTGGTATCTTTCCTATCCATGGTAAGACTACGAGACACATATAAATACGTATGTAAAACGGCATATACATTAGAACTTTCTACTCGGTTAACCTTCTTTATAAGGATTTATTTGACATATATGCAAAGGAATTGACAATTGAAACCCACTGGGTTAACGAAATCCGGTTAAATGTAAACGTACTATAAATATTTATAATTTTAATGTTGAACTGCTCTGCTTTCATTCACAGTGAAATTCTCTGTATAACATATTATGTGCTTAGTTTTTCCTTCAGAATAAATATTGAAGAAAATTACATTAGCTGGTGTTTTTGGAGAAATCCCAAAAAGGAAAGCACAAATATCGAACGGGACGACTGTATGATACCCTTCACCACATTGGTTATTCGACGATGTTTAACCGGTATTATATTGAAGATTCTTAAATTTGCATATTACAATTTGAAATATTTGATTTAAAAAATTTGATTATTATTTTTCGAGATATCGCTTCCGCTGTTCGTAAAAACACAGTTTCAAGAAAAACGCATTCAATGTTTTAACAACACTTCTGCCGCCGCTTAATGAAATGGAATCAGTAGTAATATAGTTCCTAGCAGGGACGTACGCAGTGTGGCCGGGTACCCCGGAAATGATTGTTCTTTAGTTTTACAACAGGAAAGTTTTTAATTCCATTATAAGTCTCCAAATTTCTAAAAAAAACTTAGTAATCATAGGCAACGTAGTGCAAACCTAATGCGATGGAGAATTACCGAAAGAACAGGAGAGATGAGAAACGTATTTTCAGAAAAAAAGAAGGAAGAACAAGAAAAACGTGATCGGAAGCAAATCGATATGTACAGGAGTCAGAATGAAGTCCGGAAATTTTACCAGTGAGTAAAACGCCAATCAGAAGGGTTTGGTGCAGGCACATGAAAATATGAAGAACGAAACCTTGAGACATATACAGACAGTGTGTTGAGGATCTGGGAGGAGCATTTTGAAAAACTTCTGGTATCAAATAGTGGCGGTAAAGAATATACCCCAGAACCAATAAGTGATGACGGTATAGAGTATATACCACTAGCCAAGATGAGGTCAGGATAACAATCAATCGGGTGAAGAATAATAAAGCAGCAGGTACCGATGGGTTACAAGCCGAACTATTCAAGACTGGTGGTCTGGTAAGGAGCATGCACCAGCTGATTAGTACAATTTGGCTAGAGGAATGCATGCCCAATGATTGGACCCTAAGCATCCTCTGTCCCGTGCACATAAAAGGAGACAAGACAATATGTGCCAACTAAGGTGGAATTAGTCTTCTTCCCATCGCATATAAAGTGTCACCCAGTGTGCTGTGTGAACGACTGAAGCCAATGGTCAATGGCATTATTAGACCTGGCAAATCCACCTTTGACCAGATTTTCACACTGCGCAAAATCCTGGAAAAGACTCACGAAAAACACATCGTCGACTATAAGGCCGCATTTGACAGCCCTATTCGTGTTTAAAGGTGTTTAAAGTCATGTCTACGTTCGGCATTGCCGCGAAATTAATACGGCTATTTAGGATAACTTTAAGTGGGAAAAGAACCCTCGGAGCCCTTCAATACCGAACGAGGATTCCGATAAGGTGACAGTTTGTCGTGTGATCTTTTAAACATCCTGCTGGAAAAGGTCATACGAGACGCAAAGGTGAACAGAAATGGCACTCTGTACACCAAACAACACATGTTACTCGCCTACGCCGATGACATCGATATAATGGGTCGAACATTGCGAGCGGTAACGGCCACCTTTGAACAATTTGAGAAGGAGTCTGCCAAAGTGGGTCTGACAGTAAATGGCGAGAAGACAAAGCTGATGGTATCAACGCGGACTCGGATCAACTTTAGAACTTGATGGACCACGTAGAAGGGATGGCCACGAATTAGATGGAAAGAACAAGTGAAAGAGAACATTTCAAAGCATGGTCCTTCCAATTGGAAAAGTTGCGCACAAGACCGACGCTCCTGGAAATTTTTTTTAAGCTCGGCTTATGGAACGAATGTTCTGTCACAAGCCAGCTAAGTAGGTATGTATGCGGCATTTATTAACATTGCAATTTTAGTAGCTTTAGTTTTGTCCACTAGTGTATTTCAGCGAAACTTAACACACATCATTGTAGAATCAATCGTGTCCGCTATTCCAAATTTTCTCTCAATCGGATAAACATTGGGTTATTGGTGGCTATAGCTAAATCTCAACGGATTTTAACACACGCCAATCTAGACTCTATACGGTATGCTATTCCAAATTCTGTTTCAATATGTATCTAATTTGATTTCAATGAAACTTAACTCAATTTAATGCGATATGCAAAATTTCGTCTCAATGGGAAAAAAACCTTGGAGGATTGGTGCACCTAAATCGGACGAAAACATATATGGGAGGTATATATAAATCTGAACCGATTTCAAACCACCATTTTCAATAGAGTTTGACATTGGGCCAAATAAATTAGGAGTGCCAAATTTCTTCTCATTCGGATAATAAATGCGACCTGTACTTTGTTTACAATTTAACATGGACAGACGGACGGACATATATAAATCAACTCAGGAAGTGATTCTCTGCATATTCCCAAAAGGACATAATACCCTCTACTGCAGTATTGTAACGGGCCAAACATTAGATGTGCATCGGAAAAATTTTGCGAGACCAAGAACATCCAAGTTACACACAATTTGATTTGATTATCGGATTTGAGATACCGATAACTGTATTGTACGCTTGACTTTACAAATGATTTTGTGTGTGTGTGTCTATTTTTTTGATATTTTAAAAATTTGTATGCCGAATATTTTCTACATATGATAATTGCTTTAACCCGAAACTGGCTATACATAATTACTACCGTTGATGAATTGGCAACGCTTAAGTATTTTATTATTTCAATGGAATTTATTGATATTTCAAATTTCATTGATAAATAAATTATAATAACCGTTTACTATGGATATACAACAATTAAACCGGTATCTTTGAAGTTGTTGTTGCTGTTACTGTGGGCAATTGAACAACATTTAAGGCTAATGATAGTTTCGATAATTATGTCTTCAAAAAGATGTTATAATTTTTTAAACATATCTAGAGCTACTATAAATACGAAAAAATGTGTGTTAGAAGATATATTACGAAATAACTATTCATAGTATAAATTTCAGTATACTATCAACAAGAATTTCAAAACTTAAGATGCGTGGTTTAGTGGTAAGTTAATAATAATATTGTGTAAGATAAGCTGGTGTTAATTCCTGCGTTTTTTCAACTTGTAGGTATTGTGTTTCGTTGCTCTCTGTTCCGCTGCACCCAATGGATACGATTATCCTCGCCAAAATTCAGCACCCGTAGCTGGTGGTTATGGTGTACAACCTGTGATTTCGAAACGTTTCTATATTTTCTCCGGACCCATCGAAGAAGGCGTAGAAGTCCAACATCATGACATAACTGTTGGTACTCCACGTAAAAACTATAATGTCGTCTTTGTCAAAGCACCCGTCGAAAAACAACAAAAGATTAAACTCCGTGTTACACCAGCTGCTAATGAAGAAAAGACTGCCATTTATGTTTTGTCAAAGAAAGCTGATGCTCCAGTCGTTGAAACATTTGTCCAAGAGGCTGTTACCACTACTAGCAAACCTGAAGTGGCTTTCATCAAATATCGTACCAACGAAGAGGCTGAACATGCTCAACGTCAAATCCAAGCTGAATATGATCTTTTGGGTGGTTCCACTAGTATTTCCGATGAAGGTGTTTCATCTGTAAAATCGGTAATTGGTATTTTGGATAGCTTGCAAGCTGCAGCTGTAGGTAACTCAGTTGTATCAGCATCCAGCGGTTACTTGCCACCCACAAAGAAGTAAATAAATAAGTATTTGTTGATAGTTTATAAAATTTTGTTAATAAAGTAATTGCTTAAAAAATTAAACTATTTGTGTTTTTTAAACTATATGTACCCTAAGTTGCTGTGTTTGGTCCATAGTACTTTGTTGAGTCGGGTCCATCTTTGTTATTTGTGTATTTTATTTAGTAATCGAATTGGCTTAAATTTGGCATTTAGGGTTTTAGTTTCAAAAGAAGTTCTCCCTACCAAAAATTATTAATATTAGTTAACGGTATAGTATATTTCTATATGACGGTATATTTCTATATGAGTATATTTCTATGCAAATTATACAATAGTCGGATTGAAAACTCGTTTTTACAAATTCTCCATACAAGTCGTGTACCCAAAAAATTTCATTTCCATTAGGATCTCAAATTACAGCCAAATTGTTTTGAAATTAATATGAAACCCAGAACCATTACAAACGAACCAGTATGGAAAGAATTTAAGGGAGGAGGCGACTACATAAGTCCATATTATGATTTCCAATGCTTGGAGATTCCATTCATTTGATATAGAATTGACGAATTAAAATGTTGACACTTTGAGGGTAAGGTACCAGAAGGAGTGGACTGTTGGGTATCATCTTCGGACTTGAAACAGTTAAGGTAAAAAAAATTAATAATCTGTTATATTGGATTAACAAATTATTAAGATTTAGACCCTTCGTAGGGGAGGTACCGGAAGAAGTGGACAGATGGGTCCCATTCTTGGACATGATCTAGGCTTGGAAAAAGTATTACGAATTGCAAAGTTTGGATCCATTCATGTGATTCACTAAATTCACAAATTTTCAAAATATTGTCACTTTGTGAGAGTGGTACTAGAAGAATTGGACCGATGGGTCCCATCTTTGAATCCGATCTAGGCTAGGTAAAAAAATATTGCTATGTGCAAAGTTTGGATGAAATTATTAAATTTTGAACATTTTGTGGTCAAGGTACATCTTCGAACTTAAGCCAAGTTTGGAAGAAATATAAGGATGTGCAAAGTTTGGATGAAATCGGTTACTCCATTCGAGAGATATCGTGCGCACCAGTCTGCCGACTCCAAATTGTCTGAAACTGATTTGGTCCAAAGAAACTTGAGGTCTAATCCAATATTTTTATGTCAGTTATACGTTCCGAAAATTAGGAAGGGACTTTGTATGGGAGCTATGAAGCATGAACCTATATCGAAAAAATTCTTTTAAGAAGGTTTTTATCTTCAGGAATCTTCAGAGTACCGAAAATGGTTTGGGTCACATTTATATAGGGACCTACATTATATATATATATATACATATGACGGGCCTACTTTCTTAAAGTTAAAGCCACTTTGGTTGGAAAGTGCTAAAATTTACGAAAGTAGGAGGGATCCTTTATATGGAGTATATGTCCGAACATAGATCAATGTATGTAGAAAAGTTTCTGTATAAATGTATTCTACCCTGCAAACAGCGAAGATACCAAATTACACTCACTTCAAGAATGCCACAGAAACATTAGAAATGTCGAAAATAGATATGTCCTTCTGAATGGAGGCTATGTGCAAACCTTGACATAAATTGAGAATTTCTGCATATATGTATGTGAGCATCCAAAACCCCAAATCAAAATTTCAATTAAATGTGGTTAAATCTTCAAAATACGAAATTGTGGTATTTGTGTATCTTTGGGAAGTGGAATGTTTTGGCACCCAACGTTTATACATTTTTGTAGAGAAATTTTCTAGCCAATTAGAAAATATTAAAATGCCGTATATTAGGGCGTACCTTTATATGGTGTCTACTCTAAAAATTGGACGGATATGTATATGCAATATTTTAAAGCTCTAACTTCAACATTCCAAGTTATCCTGATTTCAGCAGACGAAGGTACAGACAGACATGACTAAATTGACATATAATTTTATTCTGTTCAAAAGTATATATACTTTGTGTGAACTTAGGTGAATATTTTGAGGTGTTGCAAAAGGAATTACAAATTTATTATAGACTCCACCTTATGGTAAAAGGGTATCACGGCACACGCTCTCCAAAATGTGGTGTCAATCGACAGAAGTTTTGTCTTTGGTATTCTTTTAATAACATGAAAATCAACAAGTCTATATATAACAAAGAACGCAGAAAAAATATAAATGCGCATGTAAAATTGTATTACTTTGCATTATATAAAAATGATTCGTTAAAGGTTTTCGATTTTTTAATAACAATGAAACTTTATTGTAACAACTAAACATTTCCAACAAGTGATACTAGTGAAATCTCCACCAACATCTTAATGTCTCTTTGCTGGTGGTAAATAATTTGACGAAACAGCCCCTTGTTGTTGTAAACCATCCAAAATACCAATAACCGATTTTATGGCAGATACACCTTCATCCGAAACACTGGTGGTACCACCCAAACGCTCATACTCAGCACGGATATGATGTTGAGCATGTTCAGCTTCTTCGTTGGTACGATATTTAATGAAAGCAACTTCAGGCTTACTGGTAGTGGTCGAAGGTTCTTGAACAAAAGTTTCCACAATGGGAGCATCATTTTTCTTGGACAGCACATAGACGGCAGTTTTTTCTTCATTAACAGCTGGTGTGACGCGGACCTTGATCTTTTGTTGTTTTTCAGCTGGAGCCTTAACGAAAACTACATTGTAATTTTTGCGTGGTGTTCCGACAGCAATATCATGATTTTGGACTTCAACGCCCTCTTCCTCAGGTGCTGAGTGAATGAAGAAACGTTTTGTAATCAAAGGTTGGGCTCCGTAAAGACCACCAGTAGCAGCATTGGATTGGGTAGGATAATTATATCCTTGATGAGAGGCAGAGGCCAATGCAACCAAACACAAAACCTAATAAAAGTATATTAACAAATTTATTAGTAACTTATAGTATGTCCACCATTTTAAAATTCTCACCATAAATCCACGCATATTGGTTAAATGTTCAAATTATGTTGTACTTTGAAGATTTCAAACTTGAGTATGTTTAACATTTGGTTGTAGCTACTGTATTTATATTTCTCATAGATACGAATAGAGTTATCTTTCAGTAGAAAACATCATTAACCTCTTAACAAGCTAAATTAATCGTTTTTCGTTTCATTTATTTTGAACTAGAATTTATTTAGAGTAAATGCTTATTGAATTTGTCGATTAATTCAAAGTAGTACGAGGTTTGTTCAAAATATATAACGAAAAATATTTCGATTTTCGACTTTTTATATTTACGTATAACTCCCATATCCGAGCACATACAACAGCATAATTTATATAAATTAAAGGCCAACCACTCCTATTGGATATACAATCAACTTCTCAGGTCTATGTTCTTCAGGAGTAAATATATACGCCAGAGAATATAAATTTTGGCATTTGCCATCGTGTTTACAAGTTATATTGGACAGTCGGACACACATGTCTAGGTCGACTCCACTAGTCGAGATGTGACGATTGGTATACTTAATGGTGGATCGAGGACCAATATTTCGCGGCATTACAAACTCTGTACAAAGCTGTAAAAGCTATACTACCCTGACAACATAGTTGCGTAGGGTATAAGAATTGCCGAATATAAATAAAGCATGCAAATGCTGACAAATCCGTCCCCTAAATTTTAAACCAATGCACTATAGGTCAAATGACCACTTTTTCTGTGCAAAATTAATAGCAGCAAAAAAAATCATAGTATTCGTCATGAAATTTGTTACTTGAATCGTTATTGTTGAATTTGGAAGAAATCGGTTCAGATTTGGATATAGCTCCCATATATATTTTCGTCCGATTTTATGCAACCAGAGCACCATATTGCCAATATTGGTCCGATTGAGACAACATTTTGCACAGAGAACTGAATTAGGTCTAGATTGATATGTGTCAAGTTTTGTTGAAATCAGTTCAGTTTTAGATATAGCTCCCAAATATATAGTACACAGAGTTTTGAATTATGTCCAGATTGATGTATGCGAAGTTTTGTTGGAATCGGTTCTGATCTAGATATAGCTCCCATATATAGTTTCGTCCGATTTTAGGTAAATAGTGCACCAAACTGAAAATGTGTGCCCGTTTGGGACAAAATGTGGCACAGTGTACGGAATTTAATCGAGTTTGATATCTGTGAAGTTTTGTTGAAATTGGTCCAAATTTATATAGCACACATATATAGTTTCGTTTGGTGCACCAAACTCCCAATAATGGTCCGATTTAAACGAAATTTTGCACAGCTTACTGAATTCAGTCCAGTTTGGTATCTATGAAGTTTTCCTGGAAATTGGTCCATATTGAGAATTTTGGTAAATGGTGCACCAAACTTTCAATATTTATGCGATTGGCATGCAATTTTCTTATAGATTTCAGAATGTCATGTGTATGGTTTTTATTGGCTCAAATATCTATGTAGATCGCATTTGTTTTTTACCCGATTCCATGTTAATGTTCATCCAAAGATGGTATGTCTCTTCTATCAACAGGATATTGTACACATTATCATATTTTGTTTGTACCCAAAGTGGTAAAGGGTATCATATAGTCGGTCCAGTCTGACTATTGATCTTTCCTTTGATCTTTCTTTGAAAACATTCATCTTTCTGTGACATTTTTCCAAATTTTGCGCTAATGTTAAGCAAAATTAATGTACCATTTGCTTTAAAAATTTCTCTCTTTCATCCGAAATGTTGTCGACAGCAATTTTGCTCACTACATGTTTGTAAACAGCACCAGTTTTTTTCTTTTTGTTACCTTCTTTTCGCCATATTTCAAAAAGTTCGATTTTTTTATACGGAGGTTGCCTAGATAAAAGAGGCATTACTCGCAAAAAACTCATTACTTATCACATAATTTTTGTGCAAAATTTCAAAGAGGTCATATTGGGTCATTTTTTTAATAGCCTACTGAAGGTCAATCTATCAAATTACATTAGCTTTTTAAAGTAAAGGGTTATTTTCATGTACAGTGTCGCAAACACAAAAATGTTTTGATTTAATATAAATATGTTCACTTGTATCTATATTTTCCATTTTACACAAATTAATTATTGCAAACACAATCGAAATAATACGCACTCAAAGTTGACTAAGCACCACTGAAATGTAAGCATATTTATAGAATAAATTGCATTGAGCGACTTTCACGGCCTGATGTGCAACGGTACTTTATATTTAGCACTAATAAATATTACGTGTACTTATTTTGGAGTGTTCTAAATACAAAAACAACAATAACTCGTGAAAAGCGACACTTTGATTTTTTTTCAATTTTGCACAGAAAAACCGGTCATTTGACCTATAGTGCAATGCCACGTAGTAGTTATTAAAAATGTGAAGCGGATCAACTCTAATTTTATTCAAATTTTAATTACTATAGTATACACATACGTTTTATTGATCATTTGAATACTAAAATGCAACACTTTTTTAAATATCTGTAAATAGTCTGTAAATAGTACCAAAAACTACATCTCTGATATTAATACATGTTTATACAACCAATACTAGATTAGAATCTCGCTTCTCAAATGTAGTACTTAAGCAAACCCAAATTTTAATGAAATCGCGACGCTTAGAGTCTGGTCACCCCGAATCTAATTCGTTTAGCGAACACTGGAGGCTTAAGATCATTGCCCACTCTTGCCAAGTTGATGGACTCAGATCATAAGCTGGAAGTAGTTCCTAAACGAGGAGTGAAAACATTATTTTAAATCGTGTTGAAGTCACACTAGCTCCGCTCACGAGGTGCTACATTGGCGCGCAACGTTATGCTTCTTAGGGTATTGTGTGTTTGTTCATATATTTGTAACAGGCAAATTTAAACGAGAGAGACCCATAGAATCACTTTCTGAGTCGGTTTATGCATGTACGTCCGACCGTCCATGGTAAATTGTAAACAAAGTGCAGGTCGCCACTATTTGGATTAAAATTTGTACAACTGATTTATTTGGCACAAGGACAAACCCAATTGAAATTGGTACAAATAGGTTAAGATTTATATATAGCTCCCATATATAATTTCGCCCGATTTGATGTAAATGCTGTACCAAACTCCAAACTTTTTATACGATTGACATGAAATTTTGCATAGCGTACTGAATTGAGTATAGACCGAAAAAGTCTTCGAAACTGTAGCATTCCTTGCCTTACCCCTGGTGGACAAGGCCATACTTTCCCCACTAATAAATGGTTGTTTGCCTATTTTGCAATAACAAAATCCAAATGTTATCCCAAATAACCCACCAAAACTACTAAAATTACATATTTTTAAAAAAGTGGAATTTTATTTCGCTTGCCACGCTCAAACCTTTAATATTTTAAGCTAAGTTTTTGATTTCTTTGTGTGCTTTTCATTTCATTTGAATCGAATATGCATAAATCGTCTCAGAAGGTGTTGCTCTGCATACCCTCAAAAGTAACTATAGGTTTATTTTGTGTCCTTTTACATGTTACAAACATATGCACAAAAATGTATAAAACGTATTAAACCGAGTACGTATTTTGCTCATTGGATGGTTAGAATGGAAAAGGCATGAGAAAACAGATTAAGAACTATGCGATATTCAATAATATAATTTTAATTTTCGGGATCCTTGATAATCTCGCATTCTATACATAAACATTTTTGAGCCTATAATTTTGAAATAAGTTCCTAATGTAAAGTTGTTTACATTCTAAATGTATAATGAATGGTACATTTATTAAGATAAACATTTCTACAAATACTGCATAACAAGAGAACAGAATAAGACAACCCCTGCGGTGTAACTAACTATAAAGTTAAGCACTTAGCATAACTAATAGCGAATAATGCGAGGGCCATTTGTGACTGTAGCTAATGATAGCGAACACCATTATTAACAAATTCCTCAATTTATATCTAGAGCTACTATAAATACAGTAGTTATCTAAATATTAAGGCATAAAACAATCTGAAGCGTTCAAAGAACCACTAGTAGTCTATAACAAGTTTAACCGCTCATCTTATATTTTAAAATATGCGTGCATTTATGGTAAATATATCAGCATTGTATGTTACAATCATACAAATTAACAAATTATTTTAATGAATAGGTATTGTGTTTGGTTGCATTGGCCTCCGCCTCCCACCAAGGATACGATTATCCCAGTCAGAACAATGCTGCCAGTGGTGGCCTCTATGGTGCCCAACCTTTGATTACAAAACGTTTCTTCATTCACTCTGCACCAGAAGAAGAGGGTGTTGAAGTCCATCATCATGATATTGCTGTCGGTACACCACGCAAAAATTACAATGTAGTTTTCGTTAAGTCTCCAGCTGGAAAACAACAAAAGATCAAGGTCCGCGTCACACCAGCTGTTAATGAAGAAAAGACTGCCGTCTATGTTTTGTCAAAGAAAAATGATGCTCCCATTGTGGAAACATTCGTTCAAGAACCTTCGACCACAACCAGCAAGCCCGAAGTTGCTTTCATTCAATATCGTACCAACGAAGAAGCTGAACATGCTCAACATCACATCCAAGCTGAATACGATCGTTTGGGTGGTACCACCAGTGTCTCTGATGAAGGTGTTTCTGACGTTAAGTCGGTTATTGGCATCTTGGACACACTTCAACAAGGTTCTTCGTCGGGAGCCTACTTACCTCCAGCACAGAAACATTAAAACTGTTGTGTGTCTGTATATGTTTTTGTTATGTAATATAAGTGAATAAAACAATGTTTGTTTTGTTTTTAAAAATTACGATTTATTTTATTATACAACCAGTAAGGAAAGTAGTAAAGTCGGACGGGGCCGACTATATGATACCCTTCACCACTATGGGTATATTAAACAGGACTATTAGCATGAAATGGGATGAAATAAACTATGTGATATTTTTCTAAATGTGAATCTACCTAGATCTATCCATAAACATGTCATTCGTTTGTTACAATGGGACAAAATTATGTAAATCGACTTCAAACTAATATAAATAGGTCATCCGTTGGGCTATGTCTGCACTTCTAGAAAACGCAACTACGTTATTCTATGCTCAATTTTGTACGTTGTGCAAAATGTGATGTCAATCACATTTGATGCCCAATTTACTTGAAATCGTTCGAAAGTATATATGGAGGCTCTATCCAAATATTAAGCGATTTCAAAAAACTTGTCACAGCTTAGGTTATACTAATTTCAGAACGTTCCTGGTTACCTGGTGCGTCAATTATTTAAAATCAATCTATAATAAAAGGGAGCTATATCTAAATCTGGACCGATTTTCTAGAAACTTGGCAGACACCACTGTAGGCTTAATTTAGTACGTTATGCCAAATTTCGTGCAAATCGAAGGATACATAGGGACTTTGGTGCACCATTTACATAGAATCGGACGAAACTATATATGGGAGCTATATCTAAATCAGGACCGATTTTCTCGAAACTTGGCTGACATCACTCTAGGCTCAATTTAGTACGTTATGCCAAATTTCGTGCAAATCGAAGGATACATAGGGACTTTGGCGCACCATTTACATAAAATCGGACGAAACTATATATGGGAGCTATATCCAAATCAGGACCGATTTTCATGAAACTTGGCAGACATCATTCTAGGCTCAATTCAGTACGTTATGCGAAATTTCGGGCAAATCGAAAGATATATAGGGTCTTTGGGGCACCATTTACATGAAATCGGACGAAACTATATATGGGAGCTATATCTAAATCTGGACCGATTTTCTCGAAACTTGGCAGACATCACTCTAGGCTTAATTCAATACGTTGTGCCAAATTTCGTGCTAATCGAAAGATATATAGGAACTTCGGAGCATCATTTACATGAAATCGGACGAAACTATATATGGGACCTATATCTAAATCTGGACCGATTTTCACGAAACTTGGCAGACATCATTCTAGACCTAAATGATTACGCTGTACCAAATTTCGCGCAAATCGAAAGATATATAGGGACCGTTTACGTTAAATCGGTTAAATATATAAATGGGAGCTATATCTAAATCTGAACCGATTTTTCCCAATTTCAATAGGGTTCGTCCTTGGGCCGAATAAGTGACCTGTGCCAAATTTCATCCAATTCGGATCATAAATGCGACCTGTACTTTGCTCACAAAAATACATGGACGGACGGACGGACATGCATAAATCGACTCAGAAAGTGATTCTATGCATATTCTCAAAAGAAACCATGTGTCTATCTCGATTATTTTTGCCTGTTACAAACATATGCACAAATACATAATACCCTGTACCACAGTGTGGTGAAGGGTATAAATATAAGTGACATATTGTTGCCACCGCTGCATATTACCCTGTGCATATATGGCAGCGACATGTCTTCGAAAAAAAAACCAAAGGGCCCAAACATTTTAATTTTTACTTTAATTTTGTACCTATTTATTGAAAAAGCATAGCAATTTTTATTTCTATAAACATACAATTGGGAGTGATTTTTTTTGGTTCATTTTGATGAATTAGTGAGGCTATAACTATGTAAAGGAGTCAACCAATGAAATCGGGGTTTTAAGAAGAGTGGTTTGATTTGCTATTGGCTATCTTCTTGTCATATATTGTTTGGTCGTGTCAGACGGACGTCTGTCTGTCTGTCCATGTTAAATTGTAAACAAAGTACAGGTCGCATTTATGATCCGAATTGGATGAAATTTGGCACAGCTAGTCTATTTGGCGCAAGGACGAACCCTATTGAAATTGGAAAAACACGTTTCCGAATTAGACATAGCTACCATATATATTTTCGTCAGACTTCATGTAAATGGTGTACCAAAGTCCCTATATATCTTCCGATTTGCACGAAATTTGGCACAGCGTACTGAATTGGATCTAGAATGATGTGTGCCAAGTTTGGTGAAAATCGGTTCAGATTTAAATATAGCTCCCATATATATTTTCGTTCGATTTAAGGTAAACGGGGCACCAAAGTCCATATACATATTCGATTTGCATGAAATTTGGCGTAGGGTATTGAATTACGTTCAGAATGATGTGTGCTCAATTTCGTGAAAATCGGTTCAGATATAGATATAGCTCCCATTTATATATTCGTCAGATTTAAGGTAAATGGTGCTCCAACGTCCCTAAATAACTTTCGATTTGCACGAAATTTGGCACAGCGTACTGAATTAAGACTAGAATGATGTGTGCTAAGTTTGGTGAAAATCGGTTCAGATTTGGATATAGCTCCCATATATATTTTCGTCCGATTTAAGGTAAATGGTGCACCAGAGTCTGTATTTATCTTTCGATTTGCACGAAATTTGGCACAGCACAATGGATTAGGTCTAGAATGATGTGTGTTAATTTTCCTGAATTCTTTTCAGATTTAGATATAGCTTCTATATCCGACCAAATGAAAAATTTAGTATCGGTTGCAGAACGACATGTTTATGGATCCAATTTAATTTTACTGGTCCTTCAAAAATGCGACGTCTGTTAGGGTTCATCTGTTGAATATACCCAAAGAGGTGAAGGGTATCATATAGTCGGCCCCGTCCGACTTTACTACTTTCCTTACCGGTTTTTATTAGTGGCTCTGCTGTCATGTCTAATGTGGCATCTTTTACTCCTGACATACGTTTTTCCCAAGTGTGCGAGTAATGATCGACTTTTGCTCGTGTGTCCCAACGGCACAAAAAGCAATAATACTTTGGCCATCCAAAATATTGACAACTTTAAGGTCGCACCTCCAGTTCCTGTATTTACCCTGTGCATATATCGCTGCAACATGTCTTCGAAAAAAACTAAAGGGCCCAAACATTTTAATTTTTACTTTAATTTTGTACTTATTTATTGAAAAAGCATAGCATTCTATAAACATACAATTGGGAGTGAATTTCTTTGGTTCATTTTGATGAATTTGTGAGGCTATAACTATGTGAAGGAGTCAACCAATGAAATCGGGGTTTTAAGAAGAGTTGTTTGATTTGCTATTGGCTATCTTCTTGTCATATATTGTTTGGTCGAGTCAGTAGCAGTTTCTGAAATAAGTGTGAAAAAAACATGGAAAAAGTATGTCGAAATTTTAATTTTTTTGCAGTTGTGCTATTTTCAGTATGATGGTGATGTTTTATTGATTTTATCTCAAGAACAAATTTTTAGTTCTAATTAAGAGGAAGAATGTTGCTTAAGAGAAAAAAGCAATATTTCGAATAGTTCACGAGATATAGACTCAATAATAAGTACGTATTATTCGAATATTTTAAAAATTAATTTAAAATAAAACCTTAGCTAATAATGCAAAACCCAGCTAGGGATTTTCTTCCACCATCACAAGCTTCAAGATTTTGGGGGTCTCGATTGGTTCAAGATTTTAAAGTTGAAAAATGTGTCACTTTGTAATATCCATACAACATAGTTGTGTATATTTTTAATTCACAAGAAGTTGCCAGGGCATCGAAGAGGAGTGATTATGACTGATATCAATTATATAGAGGTCTACACAAAGTCTTTTCCAATATAGATTTGAAAACGAATGTTGCTTCAATGACTGGGCCGAATTTCTGATGCTCTCTAACAATAGATGGTCATTCAAAACACCTAAATTCAAAACTCGACTTTTATATCGGTGGCTGCCAGGAGAAAACGAAAAACTAAACCATGGACAATTAGGTTGGAAAATTAGGCAGGGACTTTGAGCCAGTCGAAAATGTTCTGCGAATAAATTGTTTACACACACCACACAAATCATGGGGGTAATTCCCAAAGATCGACCGATACATATAATTATACCCTATACAACTATGTTGTAACTATACAACTATATATTTTATAGATATTTTTGTTGTTTGAATTTTGCCTTGTAAGGGCAGTGATCATTTGAAAGTTATTTTAAGTGGTTATTTTATACTCTTTCGAGTCGAGCTTAATGATCTAAGTTTTTCAATGAAAAGGAAAGCCAGGAGAAGAACCTACGTACTCACCATTATGCGACGCGTTTCATTGAAAAACTTAGATCATTAAGCTCGACTCGAAAGAGTATAAAATAACCACTTAAAATATTTTATAGGTATATAAAATTATTTCAATCAATCCATACACACATCATTCTTAAAGCTATGAAAAATTCCTAGTAAATTGGGAAGACTTAGAGTATTTTGTGTACTATTTGTACGAAATCTTATTTAATTTGGTAGAAAATTTAAATGTGCCAATCAGTATGCTGCAAACTCAAAAGGGGAAAATATTTTTGGTAGGAAGAAATAGGAAATTACTAACTTAACAGTAATGCAAACATCCCATTATGTGAAAATTTCAAATCTCTGTCTTTAAAATTGGGAGTTTAAACAGACAGACGAACATGGCTAAATCGAGACAGAATATTATTCTTATCATAAAAGCATTGGACAATGACCAAAAATAAAAAGGTGTAGTTATAGGGGATCTAAAAAATGAAAAAGGCATACAATAACCAGTAAGGAAAGTTCAAAAGTCGGACGGAGCCGACAAGAGATGCTCATACGTACAATATCTTTTGAATAGAATAGACATATGCACAATATCTTTTGAATAGAATAGACATAGCATCTTTGGAGGACCATTAAAATGGGATCGGACGAAATTAACTGTGCGATTACATATATATTTGAACTAAATTAAAAAGGGAGCTATCTATATCATCAATTTCAAAAAAAAAAAAAAAAAAAAATATCGTGCAAATAGAACAGGATCTATGATGCACCATTTACATAAAATGGGATTAAAGTATATATGCAAAAAGCATTCTAGACTAAATTCCACACCGCGGTGCGCTATTTACATAAAATCGAACGGAAATATGTATGGGAGCTATATCTAAATCTGAACGGATTCCAACAAAACTTCGCATACATTAATCTGGACTTAATTCATTAAACTGTGCAAAGTTTTATCTTAATCGGACAAATATTGGCAGTATGGTGCTCCATATATACGGCAGCTATATCTAATTCTGAAACTATTTCAACAAAATTTCGCGGACGTCAAACTGCACTAATTTCAGTACGCTGTGCAAAATTTACATAAAATTGGAGTCGGTTCAGATTTAAATATAGCTCCCATATGTAGAGCTATATTTAAATCTGATCCGACTCCAACAATACTTCGCATACTCTCTGTTGCTCAATTTACATAAAATCGGACGAACGTAAATCTGGACCTAATACAGTACTCTGTGCAAAATTTTGTCTCAATCGGACCAATATTGGCAGTACGGTTCTCCATTTACATAAAATCGGACGAAATTATATATGGGAGCTATATCTAAATCTGAACCGATTTTCTCCAATTTCAATAGGGGTTGTCCTTGGGCCAAATTTGTGGCATGTGCCAAATTGGATCATAAATGCGACTTGCACTTTGTTCACAAGAAAACATAGACGGACGGACGGACGGACGGACATGCATAAACCGACTAAGAAAATGATTCTATGAATATCCTCAAAAGGAACCATGAGTCTATCTCGATTCATTTTGCCTGTTACAAACATATGCACAAAGATATAATATCCTCTACCACAGTGTGGTGAAGGGTATAAAAGCATACCTACATACGCATTGATAGCATTGAATATCTATTCGGATTAAAAATAAATATGTCCTAACATGAAAAGCATAGGGTCCAAATTTGCGAATATGTATCCAATATTTACATCATATCCAACTGAAATACATTTCAAACAAATACATAAAATTTACGATTCTGTGTATGTTTACAAACCGGCGAAAAGTAAAAAAACATATTATTTGGTCAACATAATTATAATAATGAAGTAATTATAAATTAAAGAAAATTTGAAACGTTTAAACTTTATGCTCTTGAATACCACAACTAACGATTTTCTGAGGGTCATCTGCGGTTAATGACAAACTGAAGCTTGTGTGCTTAAAATGATAACCGAATTTATGAATCACATGATATAGTATAAATATAAGAGTTAGTGGTAAAATAAATTATATTTCAATTCCAAACATTCATAGAATATCTAACAATTCTTTCGAGTTTTATTTTTCATCTACATTATATAAAAATGCGTGGATTTCTGGTAAATTTAAAAAAAATTATATTTTACATTAAATCGCTAATTTAAGCTTCTCCATTTCATTAGGTATTGTGTTTGGTTGCATTGGCCTCTGCCTCTCAGCAAGGATATAATTATCCTAGTCAGACCAATGCTGCCAGTGGTGGTCTCTATGGTGCCCAACCTTTGATTACAAAACGTTTCTTTATTCACTCAGCACCTGAGGAGGAAGGTGTCGAAGTTCAACATCATGATATTGCTGTCGGAACACCACGCAAAAATTACAATGTAGTTTTCGTTAAGGCTCCAGCTGGAAAACAACAAAAGATCAAGGTCCGCGTCACACCAGCTGTTAATGAAGAAAAGACTGCCGTCTATGTGCTGTCCAAGAAAAATGATGCTCCCATTGTGGAAACATTCGTCCAAGAACCATCAACTACTACCAGCAAACCTGAAGTTGCTTTCATCCAATATCGTACCAACGAAGAAGCTGAGCATGCTCAACATCACATCCAAGCTGAATACGATCGTTTGGGCGGAACCACCAGTGTATCGGATGAAGGTATTTCCCAAGTCAAATCGGTTATTGGCATTTTGGATAGCCTCCAGCAAGGTAGTGCTTCTTCAGCTTATCTACCACCTACAAGAAAACATTAGGTTTCTTTATTAATTTTTGTTATGCGTATTTTGTTAATGATATAAAAGATTTTGCTTTTAAATAGGAGAAGTTTCAATTTTGAAAAGTTATGGGTTTTAAAGTGATTTATTTTTTTTTAAATATTAGATACACAAGAAAATGGAGCTAATGATTGTTTTTGACCTGGAGAAATAGCTTTATATCTCGGTTTGTGGCTATTGCACATTACTCTTCTAACTCGACCCTTTTTGCGGTTATTTTCTTAGATTTTTCGACCTTTAAATATTCTACAAAATGTAGGGTCATTGGACAGATAAGAAATTGATATTCGTTTGTTTTACCGCCCTTTCCACTTTTTGAAAATATTTGTTTAGAAAACCTTACATCTATGTACGCTTCACCACAAAGACATAATACCGTGCATTTTTTGCAGCAGCCAATAGGAAACGAGTTATAACCATGGTTGCTTTGAGAATATGCACAACTTTCTGAGACGATTAATGCATGTCTGATCGTTTCATATTTAAATATATCTCCCATATATAGGTTTGTAAGACTCCAAACATGTTATATAATGTTTGTCCGATTAAGTCCGATACCGTATTAGGTATATAATAATGCACGAAGTTTTGTCGAAATCGGTTCAGATGTAGATATACACTGGTGACCAAAATTAAAGCAACTGAAATTGCAAACTAAATGAACTGTAACCTTTAGTGAATTTTTTTCACAAATAAGTAGGTCATTTATTCATTTAAGAAAAAAAAACAAAAGTAAATTTATTTTGAAATAATAAATATTCGATGGAAAACTAAATTGACTTGGCACCAAGCGATTTTCATATTTTTCTTGCATTGCAAAATTTCTTTAATGTTAAAAAAATTGGTATGTAGGGAGGATTGTGCAAATCGACTACTAGAGTTTTTTGCAAATAGAGAACTGGACATTTAAGCGAGAGGCATTATGATGTTACCTTTAAAATGGCAACAAATCATACAACAAAATGGTGCAAATCGGACATTCTGAAGCATGTTAAATAAAGTCTTCTTTTTCCACAAACAACATTTTTGTCCGACTTTATTTTACATATATTTCATTCGATTTACACGAAATTGTGCGTAGCGTATTATATTACGTCTAGAATGATGTGTAGAAGTTTCGACGAAATCGGCTCAGATTTAGATATAGCTCCCATATATATTCCAGTTCGATTTTAGGTAAATGGTTTTGAAAATGAAAAAAATTTTTTAATAAAAGTAGTAGTAGGGGAGAGGGGACACCTCTGAACATTTGTTTCTTTCAAACCTCTTTAAATATTAATATTTTTGATTTCATAACTAACAAATTAAAAAGTTTACAATGGCACTGCGCAAAACATTTATAATAAATAATAAAATTTTGGAATGCACAAAAAAATGTTTAACGAAAAAACTATCCAAAATGGTTTGCACCCTTACAACTAACAAATTAAAAGTTTGCATTGGCATATAAAACCAGTAAGGAAAGTAGTAAAGTCGGACGGGGCCGACTATATGATACCCTTCACCACTTTGGGTATATTAAACAGATGAATCCTAACAGACGTAGCATTTTTAAAGGGCCAGTGAAATGAAATTGGATCCATAAACACGTCATTCTGCAACCGATACTAAATTTTTCATTTGGTCAGATATAGAAGCTATATTTAAATCTGAACCGATTTCAGCAAACTTAACACACATCATTATAGACCTAATTCATTACACTGTGTGTATAGGGACTTTGTTCGACCATTTACATTAAATCGGACGAAACTATATATGGGAGCTATATCTAAATCTAAACCGATTTTCAGGAAACTTAACGCACATCATTCTATACCTAATTCATTACGCTGTGCCAAATTTTGTGCAAAGCGAAGGATATATAGGGACTTTGGTGCACCATTTACATTAAATCGGACGAAAATAGATATGGGAGCTATATCTAAATCTGAACCGATTTTCAGAAAATTTATCACATATCATTCTAGACCTAACTCATTACGCTGTGCTAAATTTCGTGTAAATCGATAGATATATAGGGACATTGGTGCACCCTATTACATCAAATCGGACGGAAATATATATGTGAGCTACATCTAAATCTGAACCAATTTCAATACGGTTCGTCCTTGGGCCAAATAAGTGTCCTATGCCAAATTTCATCCAAATCGGATCATAAATGCGACCTGTACTTTGTTCACAAAAATACATGAACATACGGACAGACGGACATGCGTAAATCGACACAGAAAGTGATTCTATGCATATTCTGAAAAGGAACCATGTGTCTATCTCGTTTCCTTTTGCCTGTTACAAACATATGCACAAAATATAACACTGTTGGACGAACAAGCCATTTCGTCGTTTGTAGTGTGCGTGGAGTTGGTGAAGTGAAAGACATTTTCACTCCGAGTCCGCCTTGCATTTAGTTGATTTATCGTTTGGATCGTTGCTGAGTCCGTTTAGCTGGTAAGACATATACATAACACATCAGAATGTCTATGGCTTCATCCACGTGCTACAAGTGTAATCGTCCGGGCCATTTTGCCCGCGACTGTAATTCCGGAGGAGGTGGTGGCGGCGGCCGTGATATGAGACGCGGAAATAACCGTGAAAAATGCTTCAAATGCAACCAGTTCGGACACTTTGCCTGTTCCTGCCCCGAGGAATCTGAGCGTTGTTATCGTTGCAACGGCATCGGCCACATATCCAAGGACTGTGCTCAACCCGACAATCCAACGTGTTTCAACTGTAACAAAGTTGGTCACTGGGCGCGTAATTGCCCCGAGGCGTCCAACGATCGCGGTTCCAGTAATATTTCATGCTACAAGTGCAACCGCACTGGTCACATCTCCAAAAACTGTCCAGACACGGCAAAGACATGCTACGGCTGCGGCAAAAGCGGTCATCTGAGACGTGAGTGCGAGGAAAAAGGGAGCCGTAACTAGAAAGCGGTCAATCTCCATCACTGCCGATTGACCCCATTCATTTCCTTCAACTTTCCTGTCACCGTACCCAATCTGAAAAATGTTTTAAAAATTATTAATCCCATTTATCCCCAAATCCCGTAATATCTCTTGAATTATTCCAAGCTGCAGATGCAGCCAATCAAGTATACCTATATATCTATGTATGATCTAACCAACTGCACTGTAGTGCAGACAATCTCTCTTCAAAGTAAATTGCACTCTACTTTGGATATAAAAAGTGTCCCAATGTGATACGAGAATAAAAAGTGGATGGATTGAATGAAGACATAATACCCTGTACCACAGTGTGGAGAAGGGTATAAAAATTGGTTGCGGGTCGGAAAAATTTTAATCCGAGATTTTAAAGGCGCTGTTCAAAGGTGCCCCACGTTGAAAGATGCCCCCTCTCCCCTATGTATATAAAACGTACATTTCGATTGACTTATATAGGGGAGAGGGGGGCACCTTTGAACACTTTTTTCTTTCAAGCCTTATAATTTTTTTTATTTTATAATTTTTGGTTTCTTATAAATTTTAACTAATATGTACATATGTAACCTTTAAAATGAATATACATATGACATACTTTAAGCTTGATAAATATATTTTATTACTGTTTTAATGGACGAAGTCAAAGTGTTAAAAACTGCCCCTCCCCAGGGGGGCAAGGGTTGACATTTTTGAACGACATGGTTTTTTACAGTGTTTATGTTCAAATATGTATGTATTTTATTCATACATATCAGAAATGCATTTATTTATTAAAAAATATATACAAAAAGTTTCGAAAATTAAAAAATTCAAATCAAAATTTATTAAAATGTAAAATGACTTAAAAACAAAAATTAATTAAAAACCAAAAAAAAAATAATAAAGGTGCCCCACGTTCAAAGGTGCCCCCCTCTCCCTTATATATATAACATGAGTTAAAAAGTCGTTAAGTACGACCGAAACAAAATTTTGGTCCGAAGCAAATAATCTTGGGATTGGCAAAGAAGTAAACTTATGTCAACTATGTTTTCCAATGACATTTGGCCACCAAGTTTTGGTAAAATTAAAACCAAAAAACCAAATTTTGGTAATATTAAAAAAAAATCAAATGTGACAAATTCGTTTGCAAAACGTTTTCGGAAACCCTGAAAACCAAAATTAAATAATTAATAATTTTTTAGGAACATTATTTACCCAATTAGAACTCAAAATATAAAAAAAGATAACACGGTTGTAAAATGTGCCTAAAAATCCTGAATATATCGAAAATGTAGGCAGTTATATGGTTTTTCCTGATAAGATTCGGAACCCGTTTCTAAATATTTCACTGAAATTTCATAAAATTAAATTATTAATTTGTTTTAATTTACAAAAATAAACATTGATCAAGGTTTTAACCAGTAAGGAAAGTAGTAAAGTCGGACGGGGCCGACTATATGATACCCTTCACCACTTTGGGAATATTCTACATATGTATTCTAAAAGACGTCGCCTTTTCGAAGGAACGTTTACATGAAATTGAACGAACTTAAATATGTGATCTTTATCCATATCTAAACCGACTAACATCAATCCCTACACATGTCATTCTGCAACCTATGCTAAATGTTGTAAATCGATTTAAAGCAAACTTGACACACGCTATTCGGGATGGTGCACGATCACACACCCATTAATTATATCATGTACAATAAACATGAATAAGTCGAAATTATATATGGAAGCTATGCTATTTCTATATCTGAACCGACTTCAAGGCAACTTGCCAGAGATTAATTTATATTACCTTCAGTAAGTTGTGTCAATCGGCCTAGCTAATGGTCTTTAGTGCACCATTTACTTAAAATCGGACGAAAAAATATATAGGAGGTGTTTGTACATCTGATCCAATTTTCGCGAAACTTTGCACACATCATTCTAGACGTAATTCAGTACGCTATACCAAAATCCAAGGATGAAGGGGGCTTTGGTGCAGCATTTACATAAAATGGGACGGCAATATATGTGGGAGCTATATATAAATCTAAACCGGTTTTT